ATAAAATGTTTTTTTTTTAAATACAGATTTTACCTAAAAGTCCATTTTCTTAGCATGAAGCATTTTAATTGTCAGTCTCGTGTGGGTTGTATTGTTTGAGTGCCGTTTTCTCTCAGTGTTGTTGTTTCTTGTGTCGTGTCAGCCAGAGATCTCGAGAGGACTGTATGAGAAAGTCGTTTCTTTTAATAATACCCCATAGCCAAGCTAAAATTAGTCACCACATGGAAGACGGACACAATTGGAGGATATGGAATTGGCCTGGTTTTGTAAAAATCAAACCCAGGACAATTCATTTGTTTTTGAATAGTAGCCTTGGCAGATACATCTCCTTTGTTTTGGTGCCAGTAGCCGAGGGCAGTTTCTAAGCAACAAGTTGCCTTTATGCTGTCAGCATCAGCTGGACTGCAGTAGTTCATGCTCCACCTAGCAGCAACAAAATACAGTAAAGCCACCTTCGGGCACAGTGAACAGCGAAATCAATCTTACTTACTGGATCAAACACCAGTAAATATATTACAAGAAATCCAGTTTTAACAAGTTTGCTTTTCCTAAAAGTCCACATGCTGAACACATTAAAAATGTTTTACAGTCAGTATTTGCATAGGAAAACAGTAAGGCCACTGTATTTCAGAATTTTCAAGGGATTTTCTAGCAGGCAGGAAAACCTTCAGGAGTCATTGTCTAATTTTGAGCCTCTTAAGGAGGACATGAAGCACTAAACATCCATCCATCCATTCGCTTCTGCTTATCCTTTTCATGGTCGCGGGGGGTGCTGGAGCCTACCCCAGCTGTCAAAGGGCGAGAGGCGGAGTACACCCTGGACAGATCGCCAGTCTGTCGCAGGGCTAACACAAAGGCTAATTTACGTCATCATCAACTCTGTCTGTGAAGCTGGATTTAAGAAATAAGTGCTTAATGTTAAAGTTTCAAAAGCATGTTTAGTGCCATCTGCTGTCAGTACTGAACTGATGTTGTCATGTGGTTTAGTTGGTTGCAGCAAATAGACATTAGCTTATGTTAGCTAACCAGTGAAAGAATTGATAACTCAGAGGAAAATAAGGAGACTATAACTAAAAATCAGTTTAAATGGATCACTTTTGTGCTGCCCCAGGCTGCAGCAATGAGTTTTATGTTAAAGCTGAGGATATACTGTCCACTTTCACTGTCTCTTTAGACGTAAGTGGCTCTACGGATTTTGGCTAGCTGCACTCAAACGGGAAAATCCAGCTGTTATCTGTAATGTTCGGGTTTGTAAAGCACTTTATGAATGAGATCTGTATAGAGGAGACCCTGTTTGAGTCACCAGACCGACAAGCTGGAGTTCACACTCCAGCTTTACCTCACCAGGCCGGGTGTAGCGAGTTGTGCAATCAGCCAGCAAAGCAGATCTTCGCATGATGCAATCAGCGCTATTTTATAAAATATTCTCTTTTTTCCCAACACAACACAAAGTTCCCTGCATAACAGGTTACTACATGCGTATCACACCAACAAATCACTAACTTCTAATATGAAGTACTCCGTCGCACCCATCAAACATTTTTTTCCTGCAGACATGCTGCTGATGATTCCTAGTCATGCTTCGGCAAGAAGCGTAGTTATGTTTGCGGTGTGGTGCACTTATGTATGTAGTAAACAGTTTGGATGTGTTTGGGCAAAGAGAGATGATTTCATTGCATAAAATAGCGCTGATTGAGGCTGCATCCAACAGAGGCTAACATCCAGGAGCTTTCTATGCTAAACGCCCAAATTTTATAACATTAAAATATAGCAGAGATGCAGGCTGCTAGAGCTGATCAGAGTCTGCTAGGCCTCAGCTACTAGGTTGTGGCCTAGTTACTATTGGGTGTGTGGGTGGAGCATTTTTTTTATGTTTCATTCCTTCATTCAGATCATTAAAATCAAGTGTTTGAATCACTTTAATGGCCACAGGTGTATAGGACGAGTATGAAACTCAGTGACCTGGCAGTATAAAGGCCATAAATGTCAATAATTGCATGCTGAATGAGTAAAAATGTTCAAACTGAGCAACATTACATTTATGTGTTTCTTGTGTTGTGCTGCACCAGAAAGACAGTGTTCTTTTTGGTGCAGACCCATAAGTCTCCACCCATCAAAGGGACAATATTTCTGTTCCTCAGCCTTAAAGCAGAGATAAAACATTGGGTCTTAAAACTGCTGCTGCTTTTTTGTGGACATGGTACTCATTTTTCTATTTTAGCTTCTAAAAATTGACAGCACAGTGTCACAGTGGTTAGCACTGTTGCCTCACAGCAAGAAGGTCCTGAGTTCAATTCCGCCATCAGGCCGGAATCTTTCTGTGCAGAGTTTGCATGTTCTCCCCGTGTTTGCGTGGGTTCCCCGTGTACTTCGGCTTCCTCCCACAGTCCAAAGGCATGCAGTTAGTGGTGATAGGTTAATTGGAAACACAAAATTGCCCATAGGTACGAATGTGGGCGTGAATGGTTGTCTCTCTGTGTTAGCCCTGTGACAGACTGGCCTGTCCAGGGTGTACCCTGCCTCTCGCCCTAAGACAGCTGGGATAGGCTCCAGAATCCCCGCGACCCTGAAAAAGGATAAGCGGAAGCAGATGGATGGATGGAGAGTTCTTAAAAAGTCCTAAATTTGATTTTATAAGGTGTGCAGCAGCCCTGGAAGTTGTTGCTCAATAGTCATTTAAAAACCTTTTAAAATTATTCTGCTCTACCATTGGCCACTCATTAATCTGCAGTTTTTCTCAATTAATCAATAAATCGTTTGAGGAATATAAATCCAGAATTAACAGAAAAGTGACTGAAACTATGAAAACAGTTGCTGGTTAGATTAAGGAAACAACACATTAGTTGGAGCTCTAAATCTGCCCCACATAGATGGTGGTGGAGAAAGGACCTCACAAAAGGACTTTTTGGTTTCCTGAGCTTAGTTGTTTGTTTCATAGAAAAGTTGAGTCAGAAAGTACTGATGCTGAGAAGAGATTACTAGAGTACACCGACTCAGAATTGTTTTCCACTTCTTAAAGCGCTGCTGGGCTTCAGCTTCTCTGATCACAGCAAATATCGTTCGATTTATTAATGTGGCATTAGTCTTGCAACCCTGTGGGCTTGCACATAGTTGTCAGCCATTTGGTCCTTATTTTCACACATGATCATTTTTCTTTCTATTGGAGGAAATTCTTCCACAGCGTCTCAGTTCTGAGGTACGACGCCATGTAATTGCCATATTTGGCAGGCCCTAGGGCTTTACAGATAGATCTTAATAAAGCTGGATCTGTGTTCAGTGGCCTTAAAAGGAGCTGGAAAAAGACCCAGCACCTGTTTTACATCTGTAGCAGGCACAGTGCAGCAAAGGCTGATAACAGATTCTGAGAAGGTCGGAGAGGAAGTTTGGGGGGTTTTCTCGACATTAACGAGACAGTACAGGTTCAAATGGCAGTCGGACCACACAAAACATACAGGGAAGTGACGTCAGAGCTAGGGCAGGGCGATATGACCAAAAACATTTGAAAATTTGCAATAACGATATAACTGACAATATAATTGACAATATAATTGACAATATAATTGACAAAATACTTTACAACTCCACAACTTTATTAATGCAAAAAAACCAAAAACCCATCAATGTATTTTCACTTAAACAAGCAGCTGTTTTTTATGTGCATTAAAGTTATATAAAAATTTAACAGTACAAATGCAAATTCCTCGCTGACAGTTTAACCAAAAGGCATTTCCAGTGGAAATTGGCCGACATATCCTCAGCATAACCATGTATAATATCCACAAAACTTAAAAAGAGGTTATATACACACACAATACGGTAATATTATGTTGAAGCACAGTACGTATCACTCCGCCAGGCTCCTGCCTACGATAGCCATAATGCTCCGACAATCCATCAAGCGGTGCGGGTTCGTAGCTTAGCAAAAACATTTGACAGAGTTTCGAGCGCCGTGTACATAAAATCGTTTCGAGGTCAGTAAACACAACCAGAATTCATACATAAGGCACACACATAAGGGGCTCTGTCGACTTTCATAAAAATCAAAGGATTGATTTTAAGTGTGCCGTATTTTCCAAACAACACGGTAATAACGACGGCCCGCTAGCATGCGCTACCAAAAATAGTGCTTTGTTGTGTATCTGACGGACGAAAGCTAAACCAGTTCCACACCACTGAAGCTGCAGCATTTTTACAAACCACTTCTGGTTCATCTGTTTCATTCAACGATCCGCTTTCGCCCTTCTCGTTCTGCGTCGCCGCCATGTGCGTATGTAAACAAAGGCACTGCGCATGCGCGTTTTACCCATATTCTATCGCGATATTTCATTTTCTTATCGTTGCCCGACAACACAAACAACACAAACGTTATACCAGTATAACCGTGAACAGTATGATATGGCCCAGCCCTAGTCAGAGCTTTGACTGTGGTTTGTGCTTTGTGGATCAACCATGACGCTGAAAGCTATCAGTCTCCATGCTACAAACAGCTCTGTTCTTCACTGAGCATGCTGTTACCTTCACTTTTCACTCAGTGTGCTATAACAGAGGACTCAACTCGTTACCATGGTGACGTGGCGATAGCAGCCGAGGGTTCGTACAGTATGACAGAGAGATCTGAAGCATGTTTTCCTTTGGAACGTGATATGAGTATTTAGCTGGGCGAGCACACCACACATTTGTTCTCACTCTGTTTTTAAAATGAGCAGGTCTTAGGTCTCTAACCAAACACTTCCCTTCGCTTAGCTATGTGACGCACAAGCACAAGCAAATATGGAGGCTAATTTGTAGGTCTGTGCTGAGTACCATACATGCATGTTAAACATAATGATTGGCCATGAGGGAGATAGTAGAGATCTTTCACATGTCACATGCAAAAAAAAAAAAAAAAGTAAAACAGTTACCCATATCTCCAAAGTGAAAACTGGATACCTACACAGTGTATAAATATCCAAATATTTGGATACGTCTCTGCTCATTTTTTCATATTGTGTCTTTTCTAGCCAAGCACGCTCCCTCAGGGCACAGTCAACATGAACCTGTGTACAGACGTCATTGATGCAGAGCCCAAGACGGGCCAGAAGAACTCACTGTGCATCATCACACCCGACCAGGAGTACTACATCAGAGGAGAGAATAAGGAGATCATCAATGGGTAATTTGTCCAGATATGATTACTGATGGGTTGTCACAGGGTTGGATGCTGATGTCTGATATTCAGAAATCTTTGGGCATGTGTGTTTGTGCACGCACACACCTGCAGGTGGAGTGAACAGCTGATTGTCTACCCCCGAACCAACAAACAGAACCAGAAGAAGAAACGCAAAGTTGAGCCTGCCACCTCCCAGGTAATCCTCCTCACAACACAGACGTTCAAAGGTCAGGATCATGCGCCACCTTCTTTAGGCCGTCATTTTTGACTTCATTGTGCGTTCACATCCAGGAGCCGGGTCCAGCCAAGGTAGCAGTAACTGGGTCTGGTATCCCAGAAGCGGAAAAAGTTCCAGATTCAAGCTCCATCATCTGGCAGGAAGAACTGAACCAGAGGGAGGCTGAAGGGGCAGCAGTCTGGACTGCTGCTGAGCTACCTTCAGGATCACCACTGCCCCCTACAGGTAAGGAGGAATAAGACATTATAAATAAGATCAAAGGTGATATTCAAAAAGGATGTAACCAAGTGAAAAAGACACCACATTTAAGTGTTTCATTAGGCTTTACCCAGCCAGTTGTTTTCTAGATAATGGGTTGTTTATTATTGAAGAAGAAATTAAAGCAATTTAAAATGACATAAAAATACATGTTTCCAAGGTAGAGAGTCTAATCAAATGGGTTTGTTTTTTTTAAGTCAAATGTATTCAATTAATCTTATTTTAAATAAATATATGGCATCTTCTGTTCCTCATCTGTAGGGGACTCTGCGTCTGCGGCCCAGGCTTCTGATGCAGGCTCAGTGAACGGTGATGAAGTGGACCGGGGCAGCCTGCCGTTGCACGGCTCCACCCCCCAGCCTCCCAGCGACCTGCTGTCCCCGACCGGCTCCTGCTCCAGCCTGGGAGGCATTCCGCGCTGCCTCTCACCAGCTCCCAGCGACCCCTTCCCCTCCGGCAGCTCCCTGCTCTCCAACGGCTCTCACATCAGCGGCTCGGTCAGCTCTCTCGACTCGGATGCCAGCGGCAGCACGGTGACGAGCACAGACAGCCACCCGGCCACCCAGAGGAGCGGTCACTCCTACAGCCACCACGACACGCCGCGGTCTCGGCGGTTGGAGGCTGAGGCTAGAAAGGCTGAGAAGAGGAGCCGGTTCAGGAGCCCAGACAGGCAGGAGAGAGAGGCCGTCTTCAGCCCCGAGAGGAGGTCAGTGTTCACTGACTTCTAAACTTTCATCCAGCAAAACGGCAACAAGTGAAGCATTTGGAAGCTGAGCTGTTTTCATTTTACATTAATGATAATCTGATTTCACAGATATTCGCAAGACGTCTCTTTGTATGCAAACAGCTGTTAATGCAATCTGGCTGATTTTGTCACAAATTCAGTCAGACTGATCAGTGGAAATGGTGAATTGTGCAGCCTTGTACAGTTATTGTGCCGTCTTTTGGATCCATCTTGTCTCATCTTCCCAATATCTCAGAAAATAAATTACACTACCTCTTCTAAGTTGTAGCTACGGTCGATAGCCACCCACTCCTGACTGTCAGTAAAGCTCTCTGGAAGTTGATCACGATTAGGTTAAGTCACACAGCGTTGTCATTTGTCCACAGACATTTAAATGTGATACACAAACTATGAACTCTAGCTCTGTCTTAGTTGTATTTTTGTGCTCAGATGGACTTGATTGAAAAAAAGTACTACATGTGAGCATGCAGGTAGCATGTTGATAAGCAAAGGTGATAAGATCTGCTGTGAACTAGCAGTTTAATCAGCATCTGATTAAACCTGATGAACCAGGTCAGTGGAATGCTTTCTTAGAATCTCAGCTCTCTGCGTTATATTGGATAGCATCAGTATTTTACCCGTGTTTTTATGGGAAAATGTGTTCCTTAACAATCACCCCTGCCTTTCAACTTTTTCCTCCTTTTAAAAAAGCACACAGTGCAGGTTTTGTACTTTCCATTCAGCAATCTGACTCTCCACGACTGGTTATGTTTGTGAAAGGTCTCTCTCGCACACACAGACACCAGTGAGGGCAACACTTCAAACAAACCTAGTAGGTGAGGTTGTTACAGGGGTAGCGGGGTCATCTTTTTCCTCCCAGAGCCAGCTTCCTGTGCCATTCAGATAGCTCCATGCCTGCCAGGCCTAAAGGGAAAAGGAGGAGGAGGAAAGTGGCCCTTGAACATTATTAGTGTCCTGAACCAGTTCATGTTCAAGTGAGCACACATCTGTCTGTACAGCAACCAGGGGAGCAGCCTAGGAGCCGCTTTCCAACATTTACTAATGTTAATGTGCCATTATGTAAATGGCACATTAACACAGCAGGCATCTGCATAGCAACAGCAGCCAGCTTTATATTTTTTGACATTGCAGTGTGGGGCCAAGGATGGAAAATAGACACAACAACTCGAAGATGTGGTCCCTGACTGAGAAATGTCATTAAATCCCGTTACGACTGAAATCCCTTTCCTGAAAGTTCATACTTATTCACTGCTGAGTTTGTTAGTTCAGCTCAGGATGAGATGATCGAAGCAAAGCCTCTGGTCAGCAAGATCCATCTAGAAGTAGATGTCGCAACAAGGTAAACCTGTGGAAGGATCATAAAGGGTTTTCTACAGCTGACTGCATGGCCCAGTGTTGGCAGCGTGGCACTACTGTGTTAGTTTTCTGCTAGTTTTGAGTCTCCATCATTCACACTGTGGCTACCTCGTGCAGGTTTATCAAAAGGCACGAGCTTTTGTCCTTGCATGATGGGCTTACGTGGTCCAGGCCTGCCTGCCTAACAGATGAACCTTTGTCATTTCGCCCTGTTTCACATTCAGTTATTTGGTTTTAATTTGAATAATATTTTAAAGTTCAAGGAAATTCCCTTTAAAAAGACAGCATGTGCCAAGTGGTGCTTTTCTTTTTCCTAACTGAAATGAAGTAACAGAAGCAACAGCACTTAGCCAGAAAGCGCATGTGCACTCCTGGTCCTTGTCTGTTCCTCATCTGATGTGTACTTCATGTGAGCCTGACGGGGGCAAACGGTGGCCTCCACACTGTCCTCATCCTCCTCCCCTCTGCTTTATTCCCTTTTAAGGGCAGCGACTGTAGCAGAAGTGTCCCCAAATAAGGGCAGCATTTAAGCAAAAGAGTAATATAATATTTCCCACTGCTTCTTGCCCTCTTCCTCTCTGTAATGCAGATTTCTGTTATTGAACAAAAGGCCTGTGTGGGAATGTGTCAGAGCAGGCGGTGTTGTGTGTCACAGACTGAGGAAGGTTGCAGATGGACTTGAGCGAGCGTAGGCTGTTCTCAGATCTGTGATCCAGCACTCATTTTACCCTTGAGAGATCGTTCTGTGAATGAGTTTCTTTAGCGTAATCTGTTGCAGATGATCAGCCTGTCCACTACATCAAAGACCCATGACTATTTACTGGGAACATCTCAACTCTTTACATTTACATTTGAAGTATTTGCATTTTTTTTTCCTTCTCCCAAAGAAACATTTCTTGACAGCACTGGCAGAGCAAGCTTTCATTTCCCCTTAGGAGGCGTGACTTAAAAACCTGCTGCTACAGTGTCACAGACCTGAAGATTAACCCATAATGACTTTAATCCTGCAGCAGCAAAAGCTTTCTAAACGCATCAACAACTTTACCTGCTGGTTGACTGCAGGGTCAGAAATATAAGCAAGTTTGTGCTTCCAGTATCTGGCACTGATGATCAGTGCCAAAGGGAAAAAGTTCCCAGGGTTTTAAGTATTTGGAGAATGACGCTTTTTTGGGGGGTAATTTTGCAAACATGTGGTCTCCACACAGAGAGGCCCAGCACTTTTGAATTGGTAATCCATTTGTACTATAATGCTACAGGTTGATTTAAGCAGACCTGTAGATTTATACTCTATTATGAGTTAGTTAGTCAGTACTGTAAATCAACCAGTCTTAACAGCACAAGTCCATTGTGATCATCAAGACTGTAAGAACAGAAACAAGCAGATGATCCCAGAGCTAGGACAACTGCTCTGATTAGTGACTAAATGTTTGTCAGGCTGCTGTAGAAGAAAATCTCTCATTTTCTTCCAGTTAACTCATTCCCAATTCCAGCGTCTTGAACAGTTTTTTTTTTTTTTAACACAGTACAAGTTAGGTCAACATGCCAGTTGAGAGCCTTTCAGTGTCATTACCATTCATGACGATTTATAGAAACTGAATGCCTTACATGTTTAAACAAAGTGTGCATTTGTTTGCAGTCGCTCCGGTGTTATCGAGAAGTTGGAGGCCTTGGAGTTGGAGAATCCGGAAAAAATGGAGGTGGAGGAGTCGGGGAGAAGCAGAGTCAGACAAGGCCGAAGTGAACACAGACGCTTCCAGAGAGAGGTAACGTGTGTGAGTGTGGGTGTGTTCAGTCCAACAGTGCCAATATTGTGCTGCAGTTCACAATAGATATGGTAATATGTGTAAACAGTGATTCTCAATAACATCACATGGAAAGCCAGATGTGTTCTCAGCAGTGGCCCTACCAGGACAAGTTTTGGTTCCCCCTCTGCCCCGCTGCTATCCCACCGCTCCTCCTCTTTCTTTTCCCTTATCCTCACCCTCTTCCCTCCGTCCTCTCCCTCTCTCTGTCCTGTCTTTGTTTTGCTTGTAGGTCAGAGGTCAGCAGGGGTTGCTGTATTCATTTCCAGTTTCCACTCTATGGTGGGATTCCCCTGGTGATTACATTTTCCTTTCCCACCCTAGCCCCTTGCGCTAAGTTTGAGCAACTCGGGCCTGAGTTTAGCAAGACAGTGACCCGACACAGAGTCCCCACTCGGACACCACTTGGCCCTGGATCTGTTTCACCATAAAAATATTGCGTACACGTACGCAAATAAAGCAGCCAAGACTGCTTGTGTGTCTCTTACTGCACACAAACGCTCTGTTCTCCTTATTGTTGCGTTGAAACAATGCACACATTTCCAGCTGACGCATTTAGCCTCATGCTAACAGTGTGTATTTTTGTTTTCAGCCTCTTTGATTCAGTGCCGAATTCGGCCTCATAAAACACATGGGCTCAACAAAGTAGTGTTTGTCATGAGATTTCTCCACAGCTCATTAATACCCACTCAAACAGACCTGATTACAAAAGAATGGGTCAGTGATTCTTGCCTGTTCTGTGTGTTTTCTATAAAAACATTTGCCCGCTACTTATTACTTTCACTATTATGCAAACATTCTGGTAGAGCCAATTTACACAAATCTCACAGAAAACTCAAACATGCATCTATGCTTCCTTTTTTCGTCTGTACTATGGACTGTTTTCTATGTGAAGGATGCAGTGCAAAGTGTTATAAATTACTCATCACTTGTATTGTTGATGTTGAGCATGGGAATGCTGACTGTAGTTCACTAAATGGCTGTGGGTGTCAGTAGTGACAGTAGTTTCTTGGAAGTTGCTGAGAGCTCCTTTAAGGGTGTTTATATGCGTGTGTTGTTTAGGAACAGAGGCAAGACGTGGGTCAGGGTCTGGACTTTCCCTCTACCCTGCCCCCTCTGAGAAGAGCCAAGTCGTTGGACCGGAGGACCACTGAGTCAGTCATGACGGTGAGTGTTCTCTTGTTTTTGTAAAGTCTGCGATCATGCTAAAACTCCAAGTGTTCCTGTCGGAGAATTGACCTCTCAAAGTGAGCAGTTTGTTTTCCAGCCTTACTCACTAATTGGCAAGAGTCACTGCAGCAGCGGAGATGATAAGAAGTCAGCTGCTGCTGTTTGCTCAGCATGTTGATGGGAATTGTTAGTTCGTCATCCCGCGTTACATCATTATTCGTTTGTTGTGTTATACGTTTGTCTCACACATTAGTTACCTAAAAAACTGTTTGATTTTTAATGAATAAATAAGATGATTGAAAAATTTCAGCACCGCAGTTTGTTTATATTCATTGAACAATGTTGGCTTTACATTTAAAGCCACTCATAGGGACGTTTCACTGGGCTAAAAGAGCCCCGTTTATAGGGACTCTGGTAGGTTTCCTTTAAAAAAAACAAACACTTTCCCTCCTCGTATACTTTGACAGTGGGTGGATGCTCATGTTAAACATGGTAAAATCAGAGTATGTACAGCTTAACCATGTCAGCGCAAGTAAACCCTGTGAGTACCTTTTCAGATTGGCTTAACGCAAGCTGACGCATCACAACTCATTACAGCTTGTTTTTCATTACATCAAGTAACACTTAACTAAGTGGAGTAGTTATAGCAACCCGGTCAAACATCACACGACGTCATTTGTATGCGATGGTATATGTGTTGCTCGGTCTGTGGCTTTTTGTCGGGGACACCCGTGTTGTTGTTTGTTTTTCTTCCATTTCCCGAGTTGCTGGTTTCAAAAATGACAGTTTTTGACAGCTTCATGACTCGTCGAATGACGCTGCTGACTAGCCGTTCAGTCAGCAGTCTGACGACGTCGCATTCTCGGATCACCTCAGATTGCTTGGAACCCCCTGCCGAGTAGGTACTGCTGGAAAAGCACTTCTTGTTTCAGTCAGTGTGAACTGAGGGGAAGAACAAAGGCTCATTAAATGAATCTTTATCTATGTTTTACACCGTGAATCATAAAACGCTACAAATCCATGAATACAAAATATGGAGCAGGAAATGGTAGCAATAAGTCCTCTTTAATCTTGAATTATTTTTAGGGAAAACCTTTGCCTAAAAATGAATCAACTTTAATATTAAAGATATTATTCCATATCTAAATAAAGATTAGATATTAATAAATATGTTAAGATATTTATTAATTTACTTAAAATATAGTTAAGCTGGAGAACAACATGAAAACTGTCATATACAGTAACTAAGAGTACGCACGAAGTTTCACATTTCCACACATCGATCTAAATCCAGTTTATTACTTTGACTCTTGTTTTGTCTTCAACAACTTAGCAAAGGTAGTTTTAAGCTTGCTTGACGCTTGTGCAGGTAGCAAACAGTAAGTTTATCAGGACTGTTTGGCTGAAGTGGGAGTTGAATATTAATATTAATATTTAATCCATAAATAGTAAAGTGTCTTATTTCACTGTTTTGTAATCTCTGCTAAAGCCACGCCATGCTGCTGCTAAAAGCCGTGGTGAACCAGTAATGAATATGGTTCAATAGGGTGATGAATAAAGGAGCAGGTTCAAAGTTTGTCCTAATAATTTTCAGACTTGAACGCTCCAGGACTGAAAGGTCAGTGCGTTCTGTCTGTGGCCTCGTAAACAAAGCTGCTCTTGTTCTGTTAAGCCGGAGGATCAGAGGTCAGCCGCAGTGCCAGGGCTTCAGCCGAGCAGAGAGAGATCGCTGGCTTGTTGTTGTTCGAGCCTAAGAGGCGTGATTCGCTTAGGTAACACAGTTAGGAGAATTAAACATTGAGCAAACTCTCAGCAGACATCACCCAACAGTATGCCACAGAAAACATTCTATAGACAGATTTAGTGGGGGTATTAACACTGATGGTGCAAGTGGAGCGTTACGGTGCACATGGGTTTGTTGTTCTTTTCCACCTTGATATTACTCTTTTTGCACTACAAGTAGTCTCACAGCTCAAAATAGTTCTTTGATTTTTATTACTGGGTCTTGTGAAGCCCCTCAGTTCCAGCCACTATCTAAAACTTTCTGCTCATTCCTTCACAAACAGTAGGTTTGAATAACAGGTTGATGGAGCACACAACCAGCACTGTATGCCTGAAGTGACCGTATGAAGGATGCTCCCTTTCTTTGGCATCATTTAGATCTAAGTGGGGGAAAAATGTCAGAAACTGAGCATTTAGAGTACACTGTAAATAAAAGAAGCACAAAGCCACCGTAAAGATACCCGCTGGTTTCTAGATCCCACATTGGAGGTTAAATGTCAGCATTTGGCTACACTTATCTTGGGTATCCTATTTGGATGAGTGTTCAATGAGAGCATGACACGCTCAGTTGTCAGCTAGCAGTCTTTTTCAGCTAAACTGCAGATGTTCAACACATAGAGATAGCTAGTTAATACCAAGCAACATATGAGGCTTAGCCCATAGCTGTCCGCTTGCTGTACTAGCATCACTAGTAGTCAAACTAGCCCTGCCCCTAATTTTAAATCTTACCAAATAAAAATATCTTTTTTTAATACCCCAAAAGTCCAACTAAATGGTGTATGTAATGAGAGTCTATGGGGACTGACTTGTTTTTGTTTTGTTTTGGAGCAAATCTTAAGTGACCTTTAAAGGAACTGGCAGTTTTATTTTTATTTTTTAAGCAGGCTTATTTTTCAGCCCTAGACTTTGCCTCTTGGAACTATGGGAGAGGATTAGGGCCAGTATTTTTTTATTATTATTATTATTATTATTATTTTAACCACAATTCTGAGATTATTATCAGATTTCAAAAAAGTCCAAAAGAAGTCCTCAATTTGTATTTTGGTCTCCCCCCTCCTCCTCTTCCAATGGCTCTAATCCTCTTCTGTATGGCTCAGTCTAATACACAGTTAGGATTTTTTATTTATATTTTTTCATTCTATCAATATATAACATAATATGTAATAAAACTTTGCTTTCTGTCTATGATTAAAATCACAATTTCTGTAAAGTTTCTTCAGAAGACTGAAGAAGTCACTTGGATGAGTGGTGAAATGTTTCTCCAGTAGATAATGGTACGTTCAGATGAACAGAATCAACTTTCTCTGACTTCAGTCAGCTGTTCAGATCCAACCTTTCTCCTGTAAAACCTTCTGCAGCATTTTACAGGAGAAAGTAAACGGGCAACTGTGCAAGGACAGCACTGTTTCAGATCCTTCTTCTGACTTTAAATATGTAAAATCTCTCCACATTACTGAATTCCACTTACCTTTTTTTCAACACTGTCGTCTTTTGAGCCGAGGGCTGCTTTGATGGGAGCGTTAACATTTTGTTTTGTCATGTTGTTGTTTATTTCACTCATGCTCCTAATGTGTTGGTTTGTAAAACTGCAGCAGCCCCAACATTAGCACATGTGCTGCTGCTCACAACGTAGCGCTAAATTCATTATCCTCGGCCTTTTTCTGGTAAAATAAGGTTGGAACAAGTTCTGTTGACTTTATATTGATCATCAGCCATAGTCTGATGGAAATAAGATTGACTTTAAATGGAATATCTGATACAAACCAACTGTGACCTCTGACAAACTTTATCAATGTGTGATTTCTTTCCTAATGTTCCTTTGGCCTTGTTGTGGTGGTGCAAGGGTGCTGTAACCCCCGTGCTGCAGGGCGCGGCGCAGCCCCCTGCTCTCCCCCTGCTCTCCAGGTTATTGCTCTCTCTGTGTGCAGTTTGTTATGCTGCGTGAATTCATTCTGCTAGATCTAAGATGGAAAAAAGAGACTATGTCTGAGTGTGTATGAGCCCGTCACAACTTCCTACTGCTTCCTGTGGTCACTGTTCACGTGTGCGTGTCTGTGTGTGTGTGTCAGGCTGAGCACTTGGGTTCTGTGGGCAGCACAGCCCTGCAACACATGTGGCAGAAGTTGGCCCCAGTCAGCGGTCCACATTTACATCCTCATCCTTGTCTGATCCGCTGGCAGGGTCAACTTCTCCCTGCAGCCGACTGAGTGAGCATGTGTTTTAGCTGCTGCTGATTTTTGAATGCTAGCAGTGAGGTATTGAACTTGAATTTGACACACTGCCACTGCATTACCTCTCGTTTTATTTAGGCGCTGTTTGTGAGAAAAGTTGAAGTCCTTATTGATGCTTTCTTTTAAAATGAAGATGGGTGGTGGTAGTTTGCTGCTGCAACACATTAATAAAGAACAATGAATGAAAAACATGTTGCTTTGTGACGTTTTCTTAGAATCTGTATCCTCTCTTTATCGATTTATTTCTGTATTTTTTAGCCGGACTTGCTGAACTTCAAGAAAGGCTGGATGGTGAAACTTGACGAGCAAGGCCAGGTACCATTTTTATTAGCTAATTAAGAGAAACGTAAAGAGGAAACTGAAAATGGTATTAACCATTGAAAGCTAAATGAAAATGATTGCTGGAGTCTTCAAAGAAATCAAGAGTTCAAAAACCTGAGTCACTGTCTGTCTGTAGCGTTCGATGGCCTTTACACACCTGTGGCCACACTTTGATGTTCCATCTTCAATGGACTTGAAAGACGAGGGTGGTGCTAGGAAGCTTTAAAATACTGTTTATAAGATATATAAAGAGACAAACTCTACACTGACACATAGGACTGTGTGGACACTCGATATGTGACTTGCTATGCTACCTTGCTGTATTACACAGCTCTGTTTTTAAACTGTAAATTTTTTTTCTCAAGTGGAAGAAGTACTGGTTTGTGCTGACTGATCACAGCCTGAGATACTACAAGGATTCAATTGCAGAGGAGGTGGGCTTATTTGTTCTCTTTCACGCCTTGTGTTTTTATTTCCTTCTACCTTTAAAATGCGTCTTTGTTTCTGTGTAACTCAGGCCTCTGACCTGGATGGTGAGATTGACCTGTCCACCTGCTACAATGTAACTGAATACCAGGCTCAGCGAAACTATGGCTTTCAGATTCATGTAAGAGGCTTTGCTTGTTTTGTCTCAAACCTTTCTGCTCAAAGAAAAATCTTTCACTGGTGACATTGTAACAGTTCGTGTGTTTGATTCTAGATTTTGTTGCACTTAACCATTAGCAATACTTAACATGTAATTTTGCTCGTGTTCTGGGGTAAATGCCAGATTTTCCACTCGATATCCACAGTAAAATGTCATATTGTCTCATCATCTGGGTGTTTTTTGTCACTCAGTATTTAGTTTAAACAAGAAGAACATTTTCATTTCATGTATTTTATTTTATTTCAAAGGCATTGCCAAAAAGTGGCCACCAAGTGGTCATGTTAAGCCCCTATGTGTGAACAGTAATGTGAGGCTGTCTGTTTGTTTTATTCTATAAATGCAGTCATAAAATCACCGATCCAATTTAAAAACTGCTTGGTGACTCAGAATGTAAGAGAGTGTGTGTACCCTCCAATCTGCAAGAAACTTTCCCTGAATATTGTCTCACACGCACATTACTAACATCTCTCTGTTTTATATTAATTTTCCTTGAGTCGCCACTAAATACTGAATGAAGGCTTTGGAAAGTGCTGCAGGCACTTTTGCTAGTACTCCTTATACGCAACCACACAGCTCCATGAGCTGACGTCTCCACGTGGTGCGTTCAACTTTAAGTCAGAATTTCCAACTTCCTGGTTGGAATTTTTTTTTTTAACTGGAACGCCTCAAGTCAGGCTTCCAACTTGGAAAGTTGGGGCAGCTCCATCATCTCTGACTTAACAATCAACGATGGCAGCAGCGCACGTAAAAACGAAACAATGAAAGTGTATAACTTAGTCTGAACTGCTGTTGTTCATTGGACATCTATGAACGTGCTGCAGCTGTGTTTGTAGGCACAAAAACAGAAATCACTGTATTTGTAGTGATGCGGGATTATTTGGGTTTTCTTACTTTTCCAGGTTTGCTACTAGAGAAGCGCTAATGAATCTGCTACGATAAAGAGAGATTTCTATTCAGGATTTTTTTGGCTGCTACATCTCTTCTCTATATCGCTCTTTCTCATCACTCTGTGTGTTCTTCACTGTGCTTTTTGATGTTTAGACGCAGGAAGGAGTGCATACTCTGTCTGCCATGACAGCAGGCATACGTAGGAACTGGATCCAGGCAGTCATGAAGAATGTCAGACCCTCCACTGCCCCTGATGTGGCAAGGTGGGTACAAGTCACAGTTATAACATGCTTCTCAGTTATCAAGAAACTCAATGCTTTCGTGTAATATTCATGTATATTAATACATTAAAAGATAGATTTCAAAGTTTAGAGATGAAAAAAGAACAGGAAAGCAGAAACTTACTTTGCTTTCTTTCGCCGTTTAGCTCGACCGAGGATCATGGCTCATTCTCTCCTTTAGAGGGTCTCGTCAGACCAGATGTCACTCAGGACTCTCCTTCTTCTGAGGCCTCATCTGTAGACAAAGAAGCCACTTCTGGAGTCAATAAGAGCCGAGCTCGCGAGCGCAGGCGAGAAGGCCGCTCTAAGACATTTGACTGGGCAGAGTTCAGGCCCATAGCCCAGGCTCTGGCTCAACAGCGGGCGCAGGAAGCCGAGAGTCTCCAGGCAGACATGGGGGAGCTCGAGCGCAGTCGGAGAAGAGAGGAGAGACGGAAGAGGTACGAGAACGTGACAAGCTCAGACCCTGCATCGGTTAAAGAAGGAGGGAGGACCGACGATGAGAGGGGAGACGAACCTCCGGGTTCGCTAGGTCCCGTATCTCTGGAGAGGCAGCAGATGGTGGAGGAGGTGATCGAAGAACACTGGCGACAGGTAGAGAAGACGCCCATGCGGGAGGAAAGGAGGGTGCCGCTGCCCACCGCAGTGCAACCTAGAGAGACTGTAGAGCTGGAGCAGCTACTGGAGAGTTATAAGCAAGGGGTATGTTTCCTTGTTTGATTTAGATTGTTGCTGTTGTTTTGAGTGAAATTCAAATATACAAAGTGAAGAATCCAGTCAGCAAGTACAGAGCTAAGCCTGTATTTAAGCTTCAGGGGGAAAATGCATTTTAGGTTTTATTTGGTTAGTTTTAATCGGTTTAAGAGCTTCAGTAAATTTAAACTTGCCATTGAATTGATTGCTGCATACAGTATAACATAGTCATGAATAATAACTCTGTAGTGTAACAGTTTAGGTATTTGCTTAACAAGTGAAAGATGAATCCAATGAAGCCAGCATCTTACCAACAGTCAAACACGGTGGTGGTAGTGTGATGGTGTGGGGCTCTAAAAACCAAAACAAAAAGACTGAAATCCTATTGAGATGCTTTTGCAAGACCTCAAACAAGAAGGAGAGTGGGCAAAATTTCTTCCCCAGTGATGTGAAAGACTGATTGCAGTTTTTGCAAATGCTTGGTTGCAGTTTTTGGTGCCCCAGGTAGCACAACCAGTTATTAGGTTTAGGGGGAATTCACTTTTCCTACATAGGGCCAAGTAAATTTGCATAGCTTTTTCTTTAATAAATGAAGTCATCATTGTAAAAATGCGTGTTTGCATTTATTCAGGTTGTCTTTAAGTCTCCTATTCAAATAACCATATGGTCAGGGCCTTTCTGTGGGGGGTGGCATGGTCTCCTCCCTCCTCTCTGGGTACTCTGCCTTCTCCCACAGCACCAATAACTGGGCGTTTGCTGCAGTTAGTGAGGTTATGATAATTGGTGATTCAAAATTGCCTCTCACTCTATGGCAGCTGGGATTGGCTCCAGCCCCCCTATATATTTTATATTCTAATATTCTTCCTGCCGTTTTTACAGATTGAGGACCTGAAGGCACAGTTGAAGAGCTGTCACAAGCAGCTCCTGGACTCAAATAAGCACAAACAGGAGCTGGAGATCCAGCTGAGAATGGCTCTGGAGAGAGAGCAGGATGACCGATCTGGTTACATCTCTCCGGTGAGTTGTCCCTTTATTCTGCTCTTATGGGAAGTCCTGTTGTAAACTCGATCAGTACATTCTTAACTGAGCAGTGGTTTCTACTTCATTTCGTAACATTTTCTGCATGTTGTATTTTATCGAGAGAAAATCGCAACCAAACTGACGAAGCTACAACGTGGCTACAGATAAACGCCTTTGCATGACTTCATTGCATGTGGAAAACGATAAGATTTCATTACTAAATTGGCTTATACTAGTTAATCCGCTCGCTTTGTGTTGTAGGTTTTTACTTTATCAGGACTCATGCGAGGAGTTATTTGAGTAATTTTCTTGATTTTGGACCAAAGGACTGTAGTTTTGCAGTTTCTGGAGAGGTGTTATTTCACTGTAAGTGTTAATTACATGTGAAAAGTGATAAACAGACACAAATATAAGAATAATGTTGAAGTGTGTTTAAACATTTACCGTATTTTAGTTTTTTCTCATAGAATCAATACAAAAAGATGAACATGAAATCAAAATTAGAAAAGCGGAAGTGAAATGATGGCATTTTTTTTTCTCCTTGTAATTTTCTCTTTTGCATTTCGACTTCATCATTCAATTTATAGCAATAGAAAATGGAAAAAGCGAAACTTGAGTAGAACTTGTTTTCTTTTTGATTCATTTTTCAGTTGTTTGTTGCCGAATTCATGAAGAGAACTTTGTCTTTGAGTTTAGAGTGACATTTTCCTGCATAGTCTCTGGCACGATTGCTTCACTTGTTGAAATGTTTGTCTTGACATGGAATAATAACCTCTTGGCCTGTATTCTACTCATTTGCATGGACATCAGATTCTTCTATTAACTGCTATAAAGACATCCATTTGTTATTCTTTTAACAAATTTTATATGTAGAAGTGTACTGACATAAATGTATGATGTCGATTTCTTTGCCTGTGTTTTGATGTATGGATGGGTTCTTACAGAGTGAGGCTGAATGATGTTTTAAATACATATATATGTAAATTATATATAATTTTGTTTTTGGCAGATTTCTAGTATAGTGCTCTTACTCTGGACAGTGAATTATTTTGAGAAAGTTGGGAGGGTGTTTGAAGCATTAGATTTGAGCTGCATAATGCATTTCATTATCTCCTCTCAGACTTGGACGTGAAACCTGTGAAATGTGTGTTTGTAGGACCTGGTATGCCTTTCTATCCTTGAATAAACCACTCAGCTGAAACTAATATTGCATTACTTACCACTTAAAGTAACCTTTAACCATTAAATGTGCATGCTATTGGTATTAACTAACCCCAGCTATTTAAATCTTTCAGTTGCTTTTAATTTACACCTTTAAACCAAAAGAAATTTTTGGATTTGTTTTGAATCTGTTCATTTGCATAATTTGGTATTGTTATGTGGGAAGGCTTAATGTAATGTCACTTTTTAATTTAATAATAATTTAAAGAGAAATAATTAGTAGTTAGCGCTGGGAATTATAAGCAAGCTTTGTGTCTCCCCTGCTGTGTGTTAACCAACTGTCTGGTCCCCTTTTCCAAGCTGGAGCAACCTTTGGGTCTGGAGGCTGATGTGACGCCCCAGATGAAGAGGCCCGAACTGGTTAGTTCTCAAGCGCAGAGTTTAACAAAGAAGTACCAGGAGACCAAAGAGCTCCTGAAGCTGCAAGAGCTGAAAAAGCGCAATATGCAGGCACAGCTTGGCCTCTCGCTTTCTCACCTTCCCATCAAGGACCCTTACTTTTCTGAATCCCACAAAACATCCATCCTGGAAGGCCCTCCCCCTGAACTTGTCCAAAAACCAGTTAGCTTTTTAATCCAGGACACCACAGAGGCTATTCAAGAACTAGAGGACTTAACGCATGACAATCCTCTGACTCTAAAGGAGCTGGCGAAAGTGTTGAAATTACACAGCTGTAATCAAGACACAGCAGAGAAGCATCAACTTCAGAAGCTGCTGGAGACCTGGAAGCACCAGCAGGAGTTAGAAAATGAAACCATAAAAAAGAGTTTAGCTAGAGCTGGAGAGAGCATCCGCAAATATGAAGCTCGTCTTCTAACCATGGAGGACATGGTGGGGAAAGTTCACAAGCAAAGTTTTGAAAGCCTAAAGGGCTCCTACAGTCTTCTGTCCAAAACTGAGAACTACTCAGAGTCGAGTGATGAAACTATTGGGATGCTGTCTCAGAGGATTGAACTTTTAACTAGTGAAAATGGAGCATTGAAACAGCGATGTCAGGAGATAATAAATCAACTGACTGAGGCTGACAGAGAGATAGACAGACTGAAAGCTGAACTCATCAGCCAGCAAGGTGGCAAACAGCATCACCTTGTCTTGGAGGAGCTGAAAAGACTAAAAGCTGAACTGGCTGAAAACCAAGCCAATGCCATAGACAGGGAGTATTACGAGAGGGAGTTGAATGAGAAGTCCTTGAGGCTCCATGAAGCGCTCGTTACATTGGAGGAGCTTGGCAGCATCCTTAAAGACACTGAAAAGAAGCTACAGTTAAGAGAGGCCACACTGAAAGGTCTGGGCTTCCAGGGAGATTATGAAGATGATGAATTAAACCCAGAGAAAGAGCAACTCCAAGAGCTGCTTGAAGCCTCAGAAGCAAAGTTATTTGAGACCAAGTCAAGCCTTCAGACTACAGAGCAGCACTGTATGGAACTAGAAGCTAGGAACAGTCAACTAGTTGAACTAAATCAGAAAATTGAGAAGGTCAGCAGAGAGAAGCTAGAAGAAGCAGAAAATGAAATAAGGGTGCTAAGAGAGAAGTTAGTAATGAGCATGAGTACAGATGAAAAGGATGCTGAATCTGTTGAGGCAGAAGAGAAGCATGTGGATGATAAAGGACTTTTAATGAAAGTAGTACAAGAGTTTGAGATGAGGTCTGCATCGATGAATCAGGTTGTAGAAATGTTAGAACAGGTAGATGTTGATGTTGAGAGTATGCTTGGTGAATTAAAAAGCACTTTATTTTCCTCTTCAGAGGAAGAGACATTTTACCCGAGTGGAAAAGATGCGTCATTCGTGTTAAAGGGAGAGTTCTGGAGCCAACTGTTGGGCACCACTGTAGCAAAATCAAAGGAAGACGGACAGAGCCTTGACAGAGGGGTAGAAGAACAGATGATGGCAGAGAAGAGCTTAATGCTCTTGATTAGGAGGATTTGTTCGCAGGCAGACGTTGGAAGTGACAGAGTGACAGATTTGGGATCGATGTATAGCTGGCTTGATAATGAAACAAATGCTCTGATTCTTAAACAGTTAAAAGAAATTCTGGAGGAAAAGTCGCAGAGATTTAAGCAGATTGCCTCCAGTTTGAAGCTTGATAAAGATGACAAACTCCATTCTTTGGCATTAGCAAGCTTTGGCCAACAAACACAATCTTCCGAACATCTGCGTGAATCTCTCAAAGAAGCATACATATCTTACTTGATTATTAGGCTCAATGTCCAGTATGAGAAAGGGCTAAAGAAAAAAGAGGAAGAAGTAAAGATGCCTGCCGTAAATTGTCCAAATTGTCCAAAATTAAGAGAAGTTGCCAGTGGGCTTCAGTCCAAATTGGCAGATCTTCAAAGTCAACTATCTGAGGCGTATTTGAAAGCTGCCCCAGGGTCTCAAACTCTGATTCAGATTGAAGGAGAATCCATTGCTTCAGTCGATAAAACCATTGAGCTTCATGATATGATAGCCGAGCACAGGAAAGAGCTACGAGAAGTCAAAGATGGCTACGAGCAGGAAGTTGATAAGTTGAGGCAGGAAATAGCAAAAGCCAACGAGACACTTCGTCTCCGTTCAGAAGAGAATGTAAAAGAGATTGACTCGCTGACGAACTGTATGGAGAACTTGAAGGAGCAGCACGAGAGGGAGAGGAGTCGTCTCCTGGAGAGGTTTGACCGGGAAATGGAAGAGCTGCGAAGCATGATGAATCTAGCAACTGCAGGCAGGAATGAAACAGATGACAACGTACCTTTGGATCACGCCTTGACCCTGAAAGAGCGCATCCAAGAGCTGGTGACCCAAGTCTCAGTCATGACCGAAGAGATGAGACGGCGCGAAGAGCAGGGCGACGTAACCATTCTGCGGCTGAAATACGAGAAAGACCTGGAAAACCTGAAGGTGGAAGTGCTCCTTGTCCTTGCCATCCTCCATCTGTGATGCCTTGTTTTCCTTTGTGGCATTCCCAGATCCCCCTCCCTTCCCCAACATCTACTCCCTTCTCTCGCTCTTTGTTCCGTAAACCAATTTTCTTTTGTGTTGCATGAAAACTAACCTGCTGCAGGTTTATGTTATCACTGATGCTGCTTTAGTTGTTTATTGAGGAACCCATTTTGTTGATGTTTCGGCAAAGTTACCTTAATGAATACAAGACTGAAGCCTCAAACTCTGACTTGGAGTTTGAAGCTGATGGCTTCTCTCGAATTTGGGCTTCAGAAATCTGTCGGTGCCCGACTGTTCTGTGAAATGAGTTCCTCTATTGGTAGTTGAGTGTGCTTTACTGATCTAATCTCGGCAGTTTTAGTTACAAAGCAAATAACTGATCCTTTGCAGCACCTTGAAGTCTTTTAGAGTTAAGAATTTTAAAAAGACCATTTCTGTTTTCAGATTAATATTAACTTTAATTCTTTTCCTTTTGCTGTTTCGACTGTTTATTCCATACTGTGACTGAAGACAACTGAGTACTAGCTTTTTTTCTTGAACTTGTCAGCAGCTAATTGGCAGCACTTGTGATGAAACCCAATATTTTCTCAAGCAGAAAAATTAAATGCCATTCCTAAGATAATAAAGGTGTATCCTCATATACAGGGTTGGGGGCGGGTTTCCCATTCGGCTCCAAGAGCTGCCCAAAACTGCACACCTCTGCAATGGGGAAAATGCCCTCAGTGACAAGACGTCACTGAATAAATATCTTGATCTGAAATTATTTGATATTTTCTTGAACATAAAGGACAACAGCTCCTAGTTTTTCAGTAGGATTTGTATTGGAGAAGGTTTAATACAAATTCCATTATTATACCCTAATTTGCAAAGGTATGCTTCCAAAAACTCCTGAATCCAGATAGGATAGGCTTCCAATGGTAATTTGTTCCTATGTTAGGCCTCACATCGCCATTTATAAACTACCAGAGCTAAAAGTAAATAAAACCATCCCCCATAAATCATCCTGCTATCAGAGGCACAAACAAATACATTAACACAATCAGCCATACCTGTTTATTAAACACAGTTTCTGAGCACTTAATGCAGGGATGTTTAATTTGATATGCTTACATGAATGAGTGTTTGGGGTTGTGTCTGCTAAGTTTCAGTTTTGAGGTAGTAATTGTCGATCACAGCTACAGTACGTTCTGTGATAATGAAATCTGTGACACCATGAATTCAGTAGATGTTGCAGAAAAACACAATTCAACTTTAACAGGGCAAACGGGACCTAGTTATAATTTTGCATGTCTAAAAGAGGGAATGGACATACGGCTTTGGTCAAAAGTTTATTTACACTCATCGTGGATATGAGTGTTGTTATTAATAATGAATTCTTTTGGAATGATTGTATAGCATACATCTTTATTCACTTTATAAACAAGAATTGGGTGAACAATTTCAAATTCATTTTGGATTTTCTCTGAAAAGCTCAAATATAAACATATATTCATTAAAACCTTTAAGAAGTGGTCACAAAGGTTCTAATATATCTTTTAACTTGACAACACCAAGGCTTATTACTGTTAGTTATTTATTAGCGATCATGATTGACTGCAGCTGGTAATTTCTCTTTGCCAGTACTTTTGGGATTGACCAGTAACACCTAGAATCACCATCACGTGACACGAAATTGGCCAGAAAGTTGAGGACCAGCCCAGGAACCAGCAAGGCTCAAGTCTGCCATGAGCTGGAAACCGCTAACTGTCACTGTCCAGAGTGAAGCCAGCGTTATGTGGCCACGGACTAGGAGGGAGTTAACAAAGAAAGACCCTGACCCTCCTCCTGGAGGTTCAACCTCCACTCAAATTTGCAGCTATAAATTTGGAAGCCAAATGGCCTCTGGAGAACATTGTATATGGTCAGACAAGAGTAAAACTGAGCTGCTCGGCCCCAATGACAATAGGTATGTTTGGATAGAGCAATACAGACTAGTATAGTAGCAAGATTGCATGAAGATTGCATTATGAAGATGACATTTTAATTCATCATTCACGCAGCTTTGTAGCACACCAGTGAGTTTTACTTGTGTTGGCTCCTCATATAGTCTCTTTGACTTCAGGCAAACCGAAGGACCTGGATCGGGGCACGGCCACCAACCAAACACCCAGATTAGTGGCAGCGAATGCAGGACGGAAGTAGGGCAAGGTTTTAGGTTGGGCAAGTGCAAAGGCTATTGAAATCTCTTCTTATTGAGGATTATTATTCTCCCTCACTTTATTCTCACCATCCAGAAGTGGCAGTTTTGCAAGCTGATTGGGATGTCCTATGACACATGTAATGTTTGAGACACCCAGTTATATAATTGTCAGCTTAACCACACATTCCACCAAAGATTTGGCCTCCAGGCAGATTAGGATTTGTGTGTTAGCTGTAGGATACAAGTGCTGTTTGGAGTCCGGACTTCCAGAAGCTCGGATATTGTGCTGTGGACAGGAAATGGCAGCTTTTTTTTCTCTTACATCTCTCTCATCGTCTTTGCCCTTTTCTTCCGTGCGTTGTGTATCCTGTCATACCTTTTAATCCTTTTTGTACTCACACAGGCTCAACTTGCTCATGGCTGACAAGCTCAAGCTTGCAAGTGAATTGCTATAACTAAATTGATGATCTTTGCTGACATATAATTATATATAAAGGTCCAGGAGGTTTTTCCTCCTGCTCAGCTCCTGATCAGGAGAACCTTTTGGTCCCACGTTCAGGTGACCTGTAAACTCACAGCTGCAGTGTGCTCGCTTTTTGCCACAGGCCACCTGTGAGAGAGGTTTCGCTGCAATGGAGGAGTCTCACCAGAAAGTGATCGACGAGCTGCAGAAGAAACACCAGAGAGAGCTGGAGAACCTGAAGGAGGAGAAGGAGAGGCTGCTGGCCGAGGAGACGGCAGCCACCATCGCAGGTAAATAAAAAAAGTTGTACCAACTGTATCTTTTTCCTACTATATCTTTAGCTCATCATAACTTGCTTACAATGCGTTACAATAAGTTTTGATTAAAAAGAAACTTTTTGTTTGTTATCTCAGCTATTGAAGCAATGAAAAACGCCCACCGTACAGAGCTGGAGAAGGAGCTGGAAAAGGCTCGCAAAGCCAACAACAATACGGAGAATGCAGACATCGAGGAGATCCGCAGACAGCATGAGTGAGTTCCTCTCATACCCATAAGCACCAAAGTGTTTGTAACCCCTCTCTCATCTCAGCTGATGAGGGCTGACAAACTATCAGGCTGGCTGAACCAGTGATCATGCCTGGTGGGACATGTCAAAAATGCTGTGAAGTAGTTGTTTGACAAGATACAGTGCATTGTATTCTGCGTCCTGATTGGCTGTAGACCACTGTCAATCAATCTCGTGCCGTGTCTCCTGTACAGTACAGAACGCCTTCAGCTTGTCAAATTTACATAAATCTTTGATCACTACCAGCGTGACTCTGAAGTGCTGCACCGTGTTTGTACGTTTTCTCCCCAACAAACACAACAATGTCGATGAAACGTCGTCACCTGCAGGTGCCTTTGGTTTCATTCTATAATACTGGTCTTATTTTTCTAGCAGGTTTGAACTTTGAGAGTTTAAACAAAAGAGAAAAGTGTAAAAATGTTCATTCCTGTCTGAACAAAGTGTGTAATGAGGGGTTTTACAGCCTTAAAACATCTGTAATAACTGTAAAAAATAAAGTAGGCTACTTCGCAGATTTCACTTATCGCGGGTTATTTTTAGAACTTAACTCCCGCGATAAACGAGGGACCGCTGTATACTTAGAATATCTTATAAAGACAATTTTAGGTAAAAACTGAACCATTACTCTGTACGGTGTGGAGGTCTGTTATGCAGTGGTGGATTTTGGCTGGCACGGTTTGAGTCTATGCCCCTGACATTGAAGGAAAGCAAATGGTTATAGGATGAATATTATGTGAGTTATGTTCTGGCCACAGCTGTCCTCAACTCAAATCTCAGCTGAGCTGAACACCTATTGTTAGCTATCAAAGCATTAGACTGCTTTTTTGTAGAAGAAATAAAATTCAGTTCATTTTATATTGTTAGGCACAGACCTTAATAATAATTCATTAATGTAGAGAAAATCCCAACAATCATGCTCGTCATGGATACATAAAAGAATATTCCTGTTGACTAAGTAGTCCACTGGACAGGAGGAAAAATGCAGATTAATCCATGAGATGACTTAAAAAGGAGAAAACTGTTGGAATTGAGCCCAAGGTTAAAATTCGTCTGTACAAATGTTCCACGTGTATTTAAGAGTTGACTGAAAAAAGTAAAGGTTCGTGTAGCTCGACTCTGAGTGTAAGATAATTGTACTAATAGGTTTCTGCTGACTGTGCAGGTGTCACTGCTGACTTGTTGGGACATGCATGCACTGTGTTCAGCAGCTTGACACCCTGTGATGCTTCACACAGGAACATGTGTGGAAGTGCAGGTGTTGACTATAAATCACACTGCATTTAAACTGGCTTCGATTTTTTTACATTCTCTATTTTCACTCTGATGCCGGATAAAAGGAGAAGCTCTTTTTTTTTTTTAATTGCAGGGAACAGTTTGCTGCTGTTTATTTGCTCTGAAATAAAAGTGCTCAGCATTAACCCCAAACTAACAGATGCTAAAGAACTGCCTGACCTTCAGGTTTTTTTCACTCCTGAAGTATTTTTTTCCTCTCAGCACGGTGTTGAATTGTATTTCAGGGAGGAGTTGTGTTCCTTCCAGCGGGAGATTGAGGTGTTGTCGGAACAGTATTCCCAGAAGTGCCTGGAAAACGCCCACCTGGCCCAGGCACTGGAGGCAGAGCGACAGGCCCTCAGGCAGTGTCAGAGAGAGAACCAGGAGCTCAACGCGCACAACCAGGTGCCGACAGAAACGCACACTGCTCACCTGAGCGCACAAATAACTGTGTTATAACTGCTCCAGTGGGCATGAAAGTGCACTGTCATTCTGAGTCTTCTGATTTGCTTCTGTGGGATGTTTTCAGGAGCTGAACAACCGACTGGCAGCAGAAATCACTAAGATGCGCTCCATGACTTCTGAGGATGGAGTGGGAGACACAAATACCACAATACAGGGGAAGGAGCTCTACGAGTTAGAAGTAAGGTTCAAGTCGCATAAGTTCCTGGATGTGAAACGTATGAAAACGAGTCTCTGCTAGTAAGGTTTTAATAGCCTCTCCTCAGGAAATGTTTCCACCCTCAAGGTGACTTGGCTCATATTTTTAGCATAATTTTTTCCTCGTCTTGTTTTCCAGGTTATGCTGCGAGTGAAGGAGTCTGAAGTCCAGTACCTGAAGCAGGAAATCAACTCCCTCAAAGATGAACTGCAAGCAGCCCAAAGAGTAAGTTTCAGTTTTTTTTCTTTCCCCCTCATAAATTCATCACAGATCTAAAGACAAATCCTTTCTCTGAACTGCCAAACAATGTGCTTTCAGGATAAGAAATATGCAACAGATAAGTACAAGGACATTTACACAGAGCTGAGCATTGTCAAGGCCAAAGCAGAGCGGGATCTGGGCCGGCTCAGAGACCAGCTGCAGCTGGCTCATGAGGCGCTCGGGGAGCCGGCGCTGGAGGAGGTGGAACGAGGGGGCTATGGTACGAAAACGCTCCGCAAAACACACCTCATGTTGGAATCGACTCGCACCCAGACTCCTATCTTATTGTGACCGACACATTTCTTCCTCCAGATATCATGAAGTCCAAAAGCAACCCTGACATCCTCAAGATGGCAGCTGCTGCAGCGAAACGCTCAGAGCGCACCATGAGGTCAAAGGTGAGTGTCCTGTGAAGGGGCATGCAAAGAGTTTTATCAGATGTGTTAATTCAGGTTTTCTCATTGAACTCTATCACCCATTGTATCATTGCTCAAGCAACAGCAGATATTGAAAGTGGTTAACTCCAGCCTTCAAAAGCCTGAGAAGTTGTTTCCAGTGACTTGCTGCCACCTACAGGTCACCTGCTAAGTTGCATGCAGCATTGCATGCAAACCGGCTGCATTTTCCTGATCCATGTCGTGACTCCCATCAGAACTGCATTGTAGGCATTGTATTGCAAATGAAACACCGCAGTAGTCTTACACACACTTGCCTGTGTGTTTTCCCCCTTCTGTCTTCAGTCTGTGAGTCGAGACATGCCCTGGGACAGTTAGGGCTGCTGACGACGTGTAAGCTTCCTCCCCCTTCTCCTTTAGGTAAACCAAACCAGACGCACCCATGGGTGGATAAGCACACCCTCCTGTCCTCCACCTCTCAAGCCACTCAAAAGATCAGATTCTGCACATTAGTATGCACAAATACTCCACACTTGCATGGTGGTGAAGAATGAATGTCAGGTTTGGCAGAGTGACTGTGTATGTGACTTATCACTGGGCTTGCTTACTAATATGTGGGTCCTTTCACTTTATCAGCCATGAACTGTATTGTATGAGAGGGTTACTTACACAGTGCTAAACAATGAAGTCCCAAACCTAATAAAAAGCTGTTTGTCAGACAAGTCAAGATGCACCTGAACTCTTAATTAATCAGCACTGTTAGGCAGGTGAATGATTAAAATGACAAGAACAACGTGGAAAAACTTTTCCTTCATCTTCACTTTCTCAATAAAATCAAAAAGTAATTTTGCTTGAATATCTTTAAATAGACTTGTTAACATGAGAGTTTTTGTCTTAGTAATAGTTTAATGTTCACAGTAAAATAATACTAGAAGTGTCTGCATCTAGTCGACTCAATATTTTGTTGTTCTTGTTGGTTAAACACATTTTATTAATGCACCAATGCATCAGTTCCCAGTTCAAAGATGCGGTTGGCGACTAACCAGCACGATCTCTATGAAGGGAAGTTGTGAATGAATAAGGGAGGAAGTAAAGAGGTCACAGCCTTGCTAACTGCCACAGTGCTTTGATGTGAAGCTGCCTAGCTTGGAAAATGCTTTTTCAGTTTGAGTGACTTCATGACAAAGGTAAATGTAAATCAAATATAAAACGTTGGCCAAGATATGAACTTCAATCACAATGGTCATTTTATTTATTGCACATTTTGTTATACTTTTAATTCAATGTGCACAAAGTAAAAGCTTAAAAAGCAACATATGATTTACAGTGAAAAGAGCAAAATAAAATGCAAGTTAACAGTGAGAACAAAGAGGTTTGGAGTCTGCTTTTGAATATGTGCAATTAGCTGAACATTAAAAGAACTTATATATGTAAAATGGAGAAACTTCGAGGTGAAGGAAAAGTGTTGACGTAAAACAGTTGAGTTAAACCCATTTTATGCAACCTTTTATCAGTTTTGGGACTCCATAGCACACATGCTAAAGAAGGGTTTGCTATCAGTTGTAGTGTGGTGTGTTAACACTCTATTTGAGAGGGATAACTCACTGGGTGACATCAGGTTTACACTGGGAGAAACACTGAAACAGCACACGTGTCCAGAGTTGGGTTCATCATAAACTTATTTAGCGTCTGCTTTTTCTCTCTTCATCCCACCAGAGTCTGAAGGAAGGGCTGACAGCGGAGCAGAGACTCCACCTGTTTGAAAATAAAGACACTAAGGAGTTCTGACAGTGACACGTCACGTCCCCCTACCTTGCTGCATGTTTAGAAGCCCACTATATTTTAGCTCTGTAATGACTTATTTAGTAACAACTACACACTGGTCACCAAACACAGATCATTTATTATTAAAAACATGCTATGAAGTTTGAATTTCATGTTTAGTTTGCATTCCATGCACTTCAGTTAACTGTGACTTTTTTGTATTTTTTTTCCTTACTGTAAATACTGTTTTTAAATGAGCATTTTTCATGCATACACTAGAACTATGACTGTGTAAGCTACTGTTTTAACTCTCTAGACTGTTGCTAGCCAAAAGCATAAATGTGATGTTAAATGGCTAAACTACAACTACATAATGACGAGTAATACTTGCATAACAAAACCGTAGGAATGAGTCTGGCGTTCAGTCTGCACGTTAACGCTCCTCCTCTCCGTTATCATTCCAGCACAGATGGAAGTGTTGCTCAGTAAACAAGCTATAGAACAAAAGTGCTTGTCTGCATTAGAAAAAAAGTGCTCACCCATGTTGCTGCTTTGTGTTACTTTGAAATTAACATCAAAGATGTTTCTGCAGTCTTGGGGAAAAAAATCAGATAAAATCAGTGCGCGACAGCTGAATGCATCAGGACAAGATTCACTGACTATAATTTAAATATATATGAAAGTTTATATAGATTTTTTTTTCTCTCACTGCAATCATTGGTCCAACTGTATAGGAGTTGCTGGAGTTGGTTTATGTTTGTAGTCTTGTTCAGTGGCAGTCCCTTTGTATTTATTTAAGTGGTTGGGATTTTTCTTTCACATTCCCATTCCTCTGTACTCTATTATTGTAAATATAAAGCAAATATACACCAACTGACTACAGGTTTATTAGCAATAAATATTTTTGCACCCTTTTCTGTGTGTTTTGAAGTTTTGAACCACATTTGAACTCGGGGTGTGTTTTTTTTTTTTTTTATGGGGATAAATATTCTCAACAAACACTGAACACAACTTATTTTATTGTAACGCTTAAAGTCAAAGAGGGTCGGGCAAAGCACAATCAAATAAAACTGTTTAAAACTGACACCCACCCCCATTAAGAATATCTGGTAAATACAAAGCTGTACATATCTTCTGGCTACTACAATCGCAGTGGTGGTAGCATCATGGTAAGAAGTCGCTTCTCTACAGCAAAAATGAGTCACGACGAAGGACTGAAGTTCACCTTTCAGCAAGACACCACATCCCAGATTTGGATACGGATTTCTCTCCTAATATTAGCTATTTGCTGATTTGTATGTATGACTCCAGACACATGAAAAACGTGAGAAACACTACAACCATTTAATTAGTGCTAATGACGCATAGTTTTTCCATGAGAAGGCATGCTGCAACGTCCCCTGTAACATGTTTTGAATGAAACAAACACAGCAACCAGTTGATTTGATCAGAATGTAAATGAGAAAATAAACAACTCCACACATAGCAAATATTAGGGAATCTATTTTTTGGAGTAAAAGTGTCTGCTAACATTTTCAGTATCATTATTCATCTTAAAAACTATTCACAGAAACCAAAACCCCCCCTTTTTTTGTACCAAACTCTAAACATATTTCATTCTGCAAAGTTGACCAAATTGAACATGACCCTATGTGAATGATAAAAATTACAGTAGAGGAACTATTTTTTTGTACTTCCACACTGGCTTCATTTCTCAGCTCCAAAGGTTGTCCCTTGGTGTCAAAGGGTCTGGCTATAGTCATACGCAGTAATTGCTGTGACATTCCTTTGAGGCTGGAGTGAAAAGGTTTGGTGACAATGAGCATATTCTATTACTGACCATGGTTTAACAAATGGATGTAGTAATTTATTTAGTATAACCCAAAATGAGACTTATAATTAGATGTGTTGAGGTGACTGTTGTGATCTGGCCTTGTATAATTAAAATGGAATTGAATAAACCCGGGAACATGTTTACAAAGGCCTGTTTTCAATTTCTGAAAAACTATTTTCTTGCCATTGTTTACGACCTTCTTCATAATGGTCATCAGCTGTTTATTGTGCTTTAGCAAAACAATTCATTAGACAGTAGTAGTATATGAACTAATTTTGTTACTTACCTATGAACAGTCCTGTGGTTTTCATTTCTCTGCTGCATTAACAGGTTGCTTTGAGGCCATTAAAAATAACTCAGATCTAAGGCACGCTAAGCTATTTTCAACTATAGAAAACCTGTACAGAAACAGGTTCAAAGTTTAAAGTGTGATGTTATGATGAAGTAGTGCATGCCATACTGCATATGTTTTGCATACTGCATAGTACAGTACATACTTTGTGAAGGCAACAACCAGTCATACCTACTGCCACTTAGGATCACCAAGTAACCTAACCTCATGCATGTCTTTGAACTGTAGGAGGAACCCAGAGAGAACATGCAAACTCCACACAGACTCCCATGACCGTCTTGCTGGACGGTCACACATTACATTGTAACAACTGTTATTCACATCACCAAGTGATTTTAATGTAACTTTTGTTGTACAGTATGCATTATGTGTATGTTAGTGGTATACTAATTGGTGGAATACTTCCTTATCTCAGTCTTACCACTGTGCTATTGAACCTAAAGTGTGTTACCACTTTGGATTTCATCATTATTTATTATTCATCTCTGGCTCTCTTCCACAACTTGTGTTTTGTCCCGTCTCTCTGAGCCTCTTCTGTCAGAGGTTACTTCCTGTTAAACGGGAGTTTTTCCTTCCCACCTTCGCCAAGTGCTTGCTCATATAGGGTCGTGTGATTGTTGGGATTTTCTCTGTGTTATTGTTATTATTAGTAGTACCTCACAATATAAAGCACCTCAAGTGTAGTGACTTGATGCTAATATAATGAAACTGAACTATTAGTAGTAGTAGTAGTAGTTGTTGTTGTTGGCCTTTCTTTAATACTGCTATCAGTAGCAACGAAAGATCATAAAACACTCAAAAGTAAGGCACTGATTAGTACTTTCTATTAGATCACACCACTCGTCTCCCATAATGCCTTTCTGTTCCTTAGCCAAGTGACAACTGTTTCATTGCTCGGTTTGACTTGTCAGGGCACCCGATATCAGATGACAGCAATGCTGAATAAAAAGAAAACACAAAAAACTCAGAACTTGACCTTGAAGTAGGCTAGCCTACTTCAAGGTCAAGTTCTGAAGCTTTGACAGCTTGCACGCAACCGCTGGATAACTGGCAAATTAATTTATCTGGAATAGATACTGAGTTTCATTTCGCGAAACCTTTTTTGTATTTGGACTTTGCTTTTTATTGACATGTTAAAATTTTATAGCACTAAACCTACTGGTAATTACTTTATTGTGAAAGGAGTGCCCGGAAGCATTAGATTATGTACAACTTGACAGTGCTGCTATCAGAGTAGTGTGTTCCTGGAAAGTGTGTGGATCTTTATTTAATTTAGGGCTTTCTCACTTTGTAATTTTTACTGGGGTTCATTAGAATAGATGTGTTGCTGAAGGAGATGTGGGGCGGGAGGGATTCTTAACTGGACGTTTAAAAAAGCTGCGATTTCTCCCGTCCGGGTAAGTTTTGATCAGCAGCAGAACAGCACAGCGCATTACCTCCGCTCTGTCTTTGTTTCATCCAGCCGGGCCTTGCCCCGATGCTTGCTGTTCTCTTTAATTGACAGAACGTCTCGCCAAACTCCATGAAAAGTAACCCGTAATTTGATAATACCTTGGTTTACGTGTTGTTTGGACCTCTACTAGCGAACAGGATGTCTTTCTCTAAATCTTTAAGATTTACTCTTCAATTCGGAACTCATTTAATAAAGCAAAGGCCACGATTTTAAACAAAATAAAACATCTTTAAATCACATTGGCTGCTGTTTTCACACTAAAGTTAGTAAGAGCCGCAGTAGGATGTAACCCACGGTGTCTGTCACTGAGCTATAAAAGTTGTCAATTTGTCGGAATAATCACACTTTGCGGGCAGTGGACCTCGCCGAAATGAACAGTGGCTGTTGTCGATAAGTAGAAGTTGATAAATCACGTTTTGTATGACACGGTTTCCAGTCTTCACCTAAAAAGCCCTTAAAGTTCTCAAATCTTTAATGCAGTTAGAGAATGTTACCGGAGCCGGGCCTAGCTAGCGTTAGCTGTGGCTAAGCTAAGTGTGGTTAGCAAGCTCGACCTGTTAGTTCTAGTAGTTAAAAAGTCAGTCCAGCGTTCGGACAGAGATTATTGGGTAAACGTAACAACTTTTTATTCAGAACATTTAATACTATTAAGACAATTTGGAAATAAGCCAAAGCGTAAATTGTCAGTTAACCCTTGCCATATTCTCCAGCGTTAATGAAAATCAAGCACACGTCAGTTTCCAAGCTAATTTTAATAGCATGACTTCATTTGTACGGGGTTGTGGTTCAGTTCTTTGCTTCAAATGAAATAAGCTTACTTTTGAGTGTGTTGAATAACGGTGTAACAAAGTGTCAACTCAATGTAATGGTAAAAAGTAAAACTGTGATTTGGAGCTTTTGGGGGGAAAGAGTATTTGGTCTTAGGAAAGCCACTCTGGTTATCCTGTGTAGTGGTGAAATAAACCCAGAAACTGATCTCTGTATGCCACCATTTATAAGCTAACATGAATATCTTCTTTATTTTTCTACTGCAGTTGTTATGGAGCAGCCACCAGGGAGCATAGATGATCTACAGCCTCAAGAGCTCTCTACTTCCTGCATCCCCACTGTGATCGACCTGACCAGGAAAGGGGAAGAATGTGTCCTCAATTCCACGACGGCTTTTGATGGCTTGTCGATGGTCAAGAGCCCCGGCTGGTTCCCAAACTCTGGGAACAGCAACCCTGGATTACAGGGATTCTCAGAGACCAGCTCCTCAGACATCGCACACCAATCAGGGGATCAAATTCAGCCAGACAATGCCTTCTCGCGCACTACAGTCACCCTTTCATACGTGAGCCGGTCTCACGTCTTGTCTTTTCAAGACACCCTATCTCAACACTCGCCTCTGTACAGTGTGTCGCCTATCAGCAAGTTCTCCCTCCACCCTCCTTGTGACACAGATAAAGGGCTCGGGGAGACCGGCTATGCAGTAAACCAGCATTACTTGGCGCAGGTTGAGGGGCCCGAGGACCTCGCCACACAGACGGAACTTTTTCAGTCATTGTCTCAGGCTCAAGGGGGACTGGAGAACAATGTGGACAGAACACAGGACTCTCATGAGTGTAACAGTGGAGTCACTTTCGGTGACGTGGATGTTGAAAAGCCGCTGCAAGGCAAAGAGGATCACAGCCTTGCTGGTGATGACAGCCCACATCTGGATAACTGTTCAGGAGCATGTGCCGAATCCTCTCCAGAGACTGTCACCCCTGTCACAGAGAAGGGCGAGGAGAAAGCAGGCGCTGAGGTGCTCTTTCTCATGTCTAAGACACCAGAGCAGATGGTTGCCTCAGACAGTGCGGGTGCCAGAGACCTTTGTTCACTGAGCAGGGAGTATATAAGTCCTCTGGAGGACCCTGTTTCCCCCTCTGCTACCTCACTGGACGATGTGGAAGATGTATTTGTGCTGCCTCAGGCCTCGAGCTCACCCAGCGGCGACAACTCTTATCTTGAGACAACTGAGGGGGTCTCGTGTGATAGCTTGAATACAGAAGGGGCCATTCAGCCAAGCTCTGGCATCAGCGATGGCACCACAAGGTTGGATTCAAGTGATGAAAATAAACAGCCGGGCAGTAGACGAAAGGCTGCGCTGGAGCCTTTGATCGACTTGACAGATGATGTTTGTGCAGCGGAAGTTCCTGAAAACAATCACAAGACTGTTATTCCTCACATGAACGGGAATGCAAAGGCACTAGAGAGAAGTTTGAAAGAAAAGAAGCTGCCAATACGTTCCAGCAGAGGGACACGGCTAGAGGCCATAGTTATGAATATAAATTCAAGCAGGTATAAAGTATCAGGATGCATACGCACTAGTAACAAAGTTAATGCTTCCCAGTCAACATCTAACGATTCCACTATATCTATTTCTAAGAAGAAAGACTCTGTGTTAGCAGGTAAAAGGAGAAGCCGAGTAAAAGTGTCTGCCTCAGCGAAACCAGTGAAACAGAAAGCAGTAACTCCTCTGAAAAGAGGCAAATCAAATAACCTGAATACTGACAGCTGCAAAGACTCTACCTCTGATTCAGAAATGATCGGTAATTCTAAAAAGTCGCGGCGCAGCGCACCTCCAAAAAGCCCCCGGTCTGCTGCGCGGAGAGAGAGTTCAAAGACTGAACCGGTGAATGTTTCCCAACCTGTGCACCCACCCGAAACTAGCCCTGTGAAGTCAAAGAGGAAAACCTCCCCACAGTCAAGTCCTCAGTTTGCTCTACATAATAACTCAAAGGAGGAGCCTGAACTGCTTCCTCAGCCAGACCCCTCAGTGCAAATCCAGGTGGCAAGATTTTCACCACCATCAAAATCTCCAAAGAAAAACCAAGGCAAAGCCAACAGCAGATCTCCTGCTAGCAAAGCGTCGCCCACTGCCAAGACGAAGGCTGCTCGCACTCCCAAAAGAAGGCGAAAGAAACATAAAGCGGGTCAGTCTTCGTCCATGTTTTCCCCAAAAGAGCCTGAGATCAAGCTCAAGTATGTCAACTACAAGGAGGATAAAAGGGATATGAGGCCAGACAGTTTCTCTCCGTTTATCCACGTGGAGCGTCAGCAGTCCTCTCCGTCGCTGTGTACTGTCGTCAATTACCCAGAGGAGGTAAGGGCGCAGCGCAAGAAGGGCTCGCAGCAGCAGGCTAATACCAGCGGCTTCATTTCTGCAGTCGTACCCAGCACTTCCTGTCTGCAGCTGGGCCGGGTGTCCACTCACGGTCAGGATCAGCGCCCTCTTATCTGCTGCCTGTGTGGGCAGTCAGCCAACGCCATGGACTTGGGGGACCTTCACGGCCCTTACTTCCCTGAAGGTTACCAGCCGAGCACCAAAAAACCAGCCAGCACTTTAGGCCTCAAAGAGGATGACTACAGTGATTCGGACTCTTCATCTTGCAGCATGAGAGGAAGGGGGAGGAAGTGTGCCGCTGTGCCCGCTGTGCGGGCCCTGAGGCCTGGAGCTCAGCTGAAGAAGAGGGGCCTAATAGAGAACCACCGATGGAACATCAGCACCATCGGCACAGGCAGCCCTGCAGCTAAACGAGTGCGGTCAGATGCTAGCTCTGCGAATGTGGAGGACTGGTATAGCCCCCCTATGTTGCTTCTCCAACCTTGTGAATACTGGCTTCATGAAGACTGCGGCATCTGGTCTGCAGGCGTGTTCCTTGTGAAGGGCAAAGTGTACGGCCTGGAGGAGGCTGTCAAAGTAGGCCAGGAGACGGTAAATCTGCACTTTAAATTTGGAGTGTTGCACAATAGCACATGGACTCATAGCTGATATAATGAAGCTGGAAATGAAAGCAGCATTGTGATGTTAATGTACTGCAGGTGGCTTGTTTTCTGTGCCTGTAAGAGAGTTATATATTTTAAATGCTTTCAAATCACTGCAAGAGGAAATGTGAATAATTAGCTTATTAGCTCAGTTAGAAAAACACTGGAAATTATTGGTGCAGGGAAAACGACAGTGAGACACTATTTTTGGGGAGATCTCTTTACTTTTTGGCAAAGTTTTAACCATCTACACAGTAAGATGGGTACAGTGCATTCTCTTTTGAGGCCAAAAGTCAAAATTTGCAAATAGCCAGTCAGGATTTCTCACCTGGAACACCTCCCTGAACTCAGGCTTCCAACTCGGAAACCTGGAGCAGTCTCACTAACTGTAGTCTGTGTAGCTACTGTTGTATATTTTCTACTGGCTAAAATAGTCATATGCACTGACCCGGTTCTGTCTGTGAACGTGCTGCAGCAGTGTTTTTAAGTACTGAAATCCAAGCATAGGGAGTGTTGTTAGTGATGTATTAGTAATAAATATATACGCTCCCCCTTGCTGAGGAGCAAATGAAATCCGGATTTTCCAACTTTGCTACCAAGACTTGGTAACCTCGAGAGTGACGCCACTCCCGGTTCCAACATGGGTCTTCCAAGGCCGTTATTCTTAAGGAGAAAAATGGTGCCAGTGGCTTTACAACCATATAATTACAAGCACTGTGCAGTCAGAGTTAGGTTCTAATTTAGCTCTTTATAACCTATTTGATATAACCAGTTAGAAACCTTGTGAGAAAAGGCGAAAATGACCGAAAGTTGATTTAAAGGTTCTAGTTTCTGAAACTATCCTTATTCAGCATGTAGTTCAGATGACCTAGTCCAGAATTCCCCCAATGTTTCATTTGCCTCTTTTTAAGATAAGATCATTAAATTAAACATTGATCTCTTTTTAAGTCATTAGTAGAAATCTTGCATAACTTAAGGCCTTCGATATTTATATGATGATATCAAATGTGTGTTTCATAAAACAGTCCCTGCAAAATGTGTCACGGCAAACTTTTGACTGTTGGTTGAGGTCATACAGCTCAAGATAACCTGAGCTAGCTTGTGTTCATCCATTGTTCTACACATACACTTGAGACACTGCAGCTGGAGGAGCAGCTAGTGCCAGCATGTCCCTGCAGCCACCCGAGTAGGAGTTATGCATAGAAATTAATAGAGGTGATAGTATATTTTAGCTTGAGCATGCCTCGGGGACTTTTAGTTTGATGCCTGATACGACTGAAGATCAACATTGGCATCTTAAAGTCAAAGTGTCTCCTGTATGAAGGGTACACCAAGGCAGCGTTCTTTCAATTTCTCCCAAGGTGATAAGGTGTTAACCATCTTAAACCATCATGAGTCAGACCGATGTCAGATTGGTGGTAAATGCAGCCTTTCGGTTTCGCTTTATTTTGAAAGACTGTTAAAGAGCCTCACTGTTTACATCAGCCATTGTACATTATGACGACTGCTGCTGAAGGCAGTGTTTTAATTAAAGCTATATAGTAATTACCTTAGTGCTATATATCCTGTCCCATGTAGTAAAAGTGGAAATCACAGCTTGCAGAAGTGTGCACGATGTCTTCTCTTAACCTCATCTGCTGTTTTTTCAGACGTGTTCAGCGTGCAATGACCCAGGTGCTACGCTGGGCTGTTTCTTCAAAGGCTGCCCCAACAAGTACCACTACAGGTGTGCTCTGGAGTCAGGTACGCAGCAGAGCAAAAACTCTTATCATGCCAGTCTTGTGCAATTTTAAAATTTGCATGCATGCTTAAGATGTAGACTGCATGTAAAAGATGGACCCGAGTTAATTTCATTGACCAATAATTTTCGTCATAGTTTGAAACTTTTGTCACGAAATGTCTGTGAAGGTTCTCAGTCATCCAGGTCATCGTAGTCAAAGGAGCTTGCAAAGAAAAGCGTCTGGACTCCTTTAAGTTGCTTGAAGACGTTTCACCTCTCATCCGAGAAGCTTCTTCAGTTCTAAGGTCAAATGGCGGAGAGTCCCAGATTTAAACCCAGTGGGAGTATCCCCCCCCACAGAGGGACAAAAGGACCCCCTGATGATCCTCTAATCACCTGAGCCAAGGTGTGAAAATGGGTGTGGGTCCCAATCAGCCAGGCTCCTTTGACTTTTGTCACAAAATAAAAATGAGATAATGCAGGGGAAGTGATACAATCTGAAGTAATCTCCTTGTGCATATTTGACTCTGGCCAATGCAGAAGTGCCTCAAACTTGGATTCTTTCTGCTGGCGCCTGTGTTTGGGGAAAAATGCTTTCAGTTGTATAGAAGTCCGCGGGAAAACGGCCCTGGCTCTAGGTGACATCTGTAAACCTTTTACGGAGTGTTTTATAGTCTTAACTGGTAGTTCCAAGTTTTCTTAAATACAGCATTTTTTTCTCTAATAGTCAAAAAAGCGAAGTATGTTTTAGGGCTTGGCAGCCAGGTTCATCTTTTATATACAGTCTATTTTTTCAGGCTTATCTTGAGTGTTGAATTTACTTACAGTAGCACGCAGCCCTGCAGGTTTTCCTCTGGTGATTGGAATTTTTGCCACCACCCACACTTTGATGGAGTAACTTTAGATTTATGTATGCCATCTGCCCCTCTGACTACTGTTTTTACTCTTTCTTATTTACTTTTTTTGCTCCACATCTGAAGTCTCAAATTAAACTTTAACAGGTACAAAGTTAAAGTTGAACACATACACCCACGACTGTTGCTTTGTGCTCAGTGTGTGCGTGCACGCATGTGCACTGTTCTGAAAATAGCTCCTTTGTGAAGGGCTGTTGGCTCTTATCACTTCCGCTCAGGCTGAACTTGCACGTGGGGGCGTTTGAGCCTTGCAGATGAATCAGTGCATCGTTGCCAACTCCTGTTCTGTTCTTGTTCTGCAGACTGTGTACTCATTGAAGAAAACTTCTCCATGAAGTGTAAGAAGCACAAGGTGAGCAGCAGTGCTCTTTAAAACTGTATTTGTGTGCGCTTTTAAAATGTATGTTTGCTCTTATTGAAGATTTGGCTTGTGATCATTTAAAAACGTAACCTCTGGATTTGTGATGTCTTCTTAGAACAAGACATTCAAAGGCCCCTCCAGGGAGCAGATGGGACGAAAGGGGACAGAAACCTCGTGAGGTCAGTAAATACTTTTTCTGCTTTCTGCTGATCAAACCACTGACAGTTGAAATATATCGGGCAACAAGAGAGCGTTTTTTGTATTTTTAAAGCTGTGAGCCAGTATAGTGGTTATCTTGGTTTGGGGTATCTGCTGAGCGGCAAAAGTACACAAGCTAATTTTAATTTAGCCCGTTTTCTAAACCCACAGTACAGATTTGCACGAGGCATCAACTTCCTGAAAAACAGAATTGAGCATGGTTTTAGTTTAACCTCAGCCACAATCAAATCATATGTAGACGTGCTGTTACCTCTAGAACATCGAAATGCAGCCAGAAATGAGTGATTTCATTTAACTGTTTCCATTAACTGTTCATGATATTATAACAATCTGGAAGTGAATGGGAAAGACAGCAACTCAGGTTAGCTCAAGAACAGTGTGTACAGAACTTAATGGAAAGGGTTTCCATGGCTGAGCAGCTACATCATCAACCACAATGCAAAGTGTTGGATGCATGGGTGTAAAGCATGTTGACACTGGACTCCAGAGCAGTGGAGACATGTTCTCTGGAGCAGCGAATCACACTTCTCCGTTGAGCAATTTGATGGACGAGTCTGGGTTTGGTGGTTGCCAGGAGAATGGTACTTGTGTGACTACACTGTGCTAAGTGTAAAGTCTGGTAGAGGGGGCATTATGGTGTGAGGTATGAGTTGGACTCGGCCCCTTAGTTCCAGTAAAAGGAACATTTTGGCCACTTTCATGGTCCCAACAGTTTGGAGATGACCTGCTCCAATTTTAACATGACTGTGCACCAGTACTTAAAGAAAAGCCCATAACGACATGGACGAGAGAGTTTGGTGTGGATAACTTGACTGGCCTGCACAGAATCCTGCCTCAGCCCGACAGAGCACCTTTGAGATAAATTGGAGCAGAGACTGAGCTAGCTAGGCCTTCTCATCCAACATCAGTGTCTGACCTCACAAATGTGTTTCTGGAAGACTGGTCAAAAATTCCCATAAACACTCCTAAAACTTGTGGAAAGCCTTCCCAGAAGAACAGAAGCTATTACAGCTACAAAGGGTGGGCCTGCATCATATTAGTCACTATGGATTAAGAATAGTGTTCGCTCAAGTTTATATGCATGTGAAGGCAGATGAGTGATTACTTTAGGCAATATAGTGTATTTGTTAAAAACATATAAGCTAGTTTTATTAGATCGGAGGGTTTACTTTAACAAAGCATGGTTAAGTTTTTACTAAGGGAAATGGGAAACAAATGAGAAACATTGAGACAAATCGACCTGCTCTTATCACTCGAGCTACTGGTGGTTAGGATCCCGAACCCTGGTGTGATGACTCGTGTAGTGGCAGCTGCTGCTACTTTTTTTGCTCTCTATGAAATGCATTGAGAGGGTTTTTTTGTTTTTGTTTTTCTCCTGTTAGAAGATTCACCTGCAGCATTTTCGCAGGCCTTCCCACCACCTCGCTGGTAACCATGGCGACACTGGACCAGGGTTGTTCTGACTGACAGCTAGCACCCGCAAACCTTAACTTCACCCTCTGTCCTTCAACTGCACTGTTAACCCCCACCAGGCACTGGGACTGGAGGACCCCGGTCACCTCCCTCAGTCCAGTCTGACAGTACTTATCAGCCAACACCACCCGCGGACTGACGAGAACCGTTCTTGAAGTAACATGCTGAATTTGTTATTTGTGTAGTTATTTATATGGGATGTTTTGGTTTCTTTTTTCTTCTTCTTCTGAATTAAATATGAATAACAATCAAAGATATTTAATTTTTTTAAAGATTTTCTAAGTATTTGATTATATTTGGGTTATTTATTCTTGTATTGGGTTCTTTAGCAATTGTCAAAGAGGTTGGATTGAGTGTTGTGTTTTGTTTTTTTTTAAGTTATTGCTAAAGCAGTTTTGATGTTGAATTAAACAGCCAGTCATGGAGACAGAAAGAAGGGGCTGGTGGTTCAAGGTAGTACCCTCCCAGAGTAAAGGTACCTGATTATCGTCAACACAACAGGGTTCCAGATTTAATGCAACACCTTGTTGGATCATTATGCTTTCTGTTTCCCGTGCAGATTCACCCAGCAGGTGTTACTGAGCGAGCCGCAAAGCGTGCATGTATTTGAATGTATTTTCACAGGAAGCACTTTGGCCCTCTGCTCCAGCTGCAGTATTACTGTCTTCAGCTGACCACTGCCTCCAAACGTTGTTGGCTTCAGGCTCTTATATCTGGCTTTTGAGGCTCATTGGTCACCTTGTCAACTTAAAATAGTCAGATCCAACTGCCTGCCTCCCACCTCGGCCTGAGAGAATTTCTGCCTGTACGATCTTTAAATCAGTTTGGATCTTTACAAACTTCAGTCTGAATTGTTAGGAGCTGTGTTAGGGGTTTATAAATTATTAAACAATTAATTTTCTTCCACTCCTTAAGGAAAGGGAATCCTGTGTTAGATTTCCCTTTCATCATCTCAACAAACCAGCCCCCTTAGACTACAGGACCACTCAGCTGCTCGCTTGACTTCAGACCCAACAAGGAGGGGCAACAGTTACTCTGGTGTTCCATCAGTCTTAAATTGAATAGGAATGGCCGCGCTGGTATTAAGGTTCCTGATGTCTTTACTTGGGCCTACATGCTGCTTTTGAAGAAGCCTTATCTGACTTACCAGCGCTACATGGACTCGGTGTTCCTTCACTAGCTTGTGGTCCAGCAACAAATCTGTGGATGTACTGCACACGGTGTTCCTGAGGGCAGCTTGCATGCACTTTTATGCAGCAGACTCTGTTGTTAGTAATACCAGATACGTGCTGGGCCGCCTCCTTGTAAAACCCTCTGACTGCACAGGTGCTCACCTACTCTGTGGGACTGGCTCAAACCCAGCGTACCTGTTGAGGACGTCAGACTCTGTTTTTTGTTTTAGAAGAAAAAAGTCTTTGTGATCAGTGTTGGTGTTAAAGTCTGTGTACTTCTCCTTAGCGCCATTAGGAGCAGCGCTGTGCTGTGTGAGGCCCATTAAGCCATTACTCGATGTCAACAGACATCCACACAGGCAGCTGAAGGCTTCGTCTGCTTAGTGTCTCAGCAGCAGCAGCAGGATACAAACACACACACATCTCCCTACCCTGAAAACACCATGTCTGTTCCATTTGTGCCATCTTTCTGTTTTGCCGTTTTTATATTTTGTTGCAGTGAAATAATAAATGTTTTAATCAACCATTTTTAAGTAAGCAGGTGTGTCACTGAGCCTGTAGCTCTTTGTTTTTCGTTTTCCAGTTTCAAGCACTTGTACCAAATAGAGATTTTGGAGAATGTTTTATTATTACAGTCTTGCAAAATGCTTGGATTTTTTAAAACTATGTTGTATGTGTGTTAATCTCAGGGCTGAATCTCAGATATTCGAATGGGTTTTTATGTTTGTTTTCTTCTGTTGTGTCAACCCCACATTGACTGGAGCAACGACACATGTAGCAGGAAGTGCTCATCTCCTCAGATGTAACGCCTTTTTTCTGTCCTGGTTGCACACTACCCGTCACATTCCAACGCCGCCTCCATGTGTCCGTCAGTGATGCGGTGTTTTGTTTTAGGACATGGACTGCTTCACTGTCACACTTTTGTCATCGTCTTATTTTTATGGTAACTTTTTTTGTATTGTCTTGTCCATTTGTTGGAGCACCAGAGGTCATGTAATTGTTTAAGAATAAATATTTTGTTCACTGTTTTTCTGAAAGAATTTTTTATCTTTATCTTGAGTAAAGTTTTTATCTCATAATATAGACATATTAGAATACTGCAAAGTATCAGAATGACTAATATGAAATTATATATTATGATAAAAATAAATGTGAAATTGATATATAGTTATAGCATTTATCCCTTCATCCTGCATACTGAGGTGATGTCCACAGTTTGGCTCAGTTTTTCCAAAGTTGAGACATTTTTGTCTTTTTATTTATATGGTTTGGAAGAAAGCAGACAAGGGACAGCAGCATAAACCTGCAGCCATCTACAGATTTTTGTTGAATGCAATACATAAAACAACCACACACCCCTAAAAGAGAAGGAAGGGATGAAAGCATTTAAACCTGGGACACCTCCAGTAACTGGATAAAACCGTAGATGCTGCTCTGGGCGCAGTCGTTTAAAAGATGTAATCTGAATAACAATTATCCAGCTATGACAGGGCCCTTACTTAATCCACTTTGTCTTGGTTGTTCAAAAGGACATTTTATAAAATCACACTGATCCAAAACTACTGAAAGCCTTACTGGTAATAACCAGTAATTTTACTGGGATGCAGAGGGCGCCAAAGTTCATGCAACAGAAAAGCTCCCTTATTAATTCATGATATTAAGTTTGACATTAACAGCTGTTATGTGAAATATCTAGTTAGCAATGCATTTGCTGTTTAATTCAGAACCATATTTCACCTGCTTTGTCTTTATGAGAATGTAACAGCTCACAAACACTTAGCAAAAACACAAAGGCAGGTGGAACTCATGCATGAGTAAATCTACTATTTAAAAGCGCCATCGTGGCTCAAGAGTTGGCAGTTCGTCTTGTAATCGGAAGGTTGCCGGTTCGAGCCCCGGCTTAGACAGTCTCGTCGTTGTGTCTTTGGGCGAGACACTTCACCTACTGGTGATGGCCAGAGGGGCCGACGGTGCGATATGGCAGCCTCGCTTCTGTCAGTCTGCCCCTGTGACTACAACTGTAGCATCCACCAGTGTGTGGATGTGAGAGTGAATGAATAGTGGAATTGTAAAAGCGCTTTGAGGGTCCCGAAAAGCGCTATATAAATGCAACCCTCTATGAGCAAGAACTTTGGCACCAGTGAGAAGGAAAAACTCCTTTTTAACAGGAAGAAACCTCCGGCAGCACCAGGCTCAGGGAGGGGCGGCCATCTGCGGTTGACCGGCTGGGGGGAGAAAGGAAGACAGGGCAAAAGCATGCTGTGGAAGAGAGCCAGATATTAATAACAACTAATAACTGAATAAAGAATGGTGTATCAGTATCTGTCTGAATCCAAGTATTTGCTGGGATCAGAGTGATTTGATATTTTCAAGAAAATTAATTAGTTACAATGTCCTAGAGGGCGGGAAAAGAACAACAATTATCAAAAATGAAAATAAAGTACACGGTTAGTGTCTGAGTAACCCACGGCAGTGCCCCAGCATGCACAACTGTGAAACTGAGGCAACTAAATTCAGCCGTCACCCACTGTGGTTACACAGCTGTTCTTTTCCAACCTCATTATGTTCATCTCCACTTAGTGAATAAGAAGTAAAGGGCCTGCTAATTTTCTTTATGTTGTATCAGTTTAAATGTTTGCTGTATGTACAGTAAAAATGCAAAAAAGTCATTTATATACAACAAGTGTTCTTCGACTGCACTGGGGTACGACAGGTTAAAGCAACTTTTTGCTAAACTATAAAACAAACGCTCTTTACTGTGATTTTTAGTAAAAAGTTGAAGGTCACAAGCTAATTCATCATTAGCTGCATGCTATCAGGCGTCTATGGCCTCGTTAGGCTTAAATGTTAGAAGTTAGTTACTGTGTCGGCTCCCTGAATCCAGAATTGAATTTAAAGTCCTCCTCCTGATATACAGAGGCATAATTCACCATCATGTCTTAACGATCGTCATATTAAATGGCAGAAACAATTCTGTGCATGATTCTCCTCTTATCTGCTTTGGTGCAAATAATTTTTTTTAACTTACTTTGAAAAATCCTGGTAAACATGATTGAACCTTTGCCTCGCGTTTGATAATTAAAGGGTTCGCCTTAAAACTGGTGCATTAACTAAAATCTGAAATTATTCTTCTGAATTATACTTGGACACTGTACTCAGCCACCCAGCATTTACGTTTCTATGGAAACATTGTAACATATATCCAAAATACTTTACTAGCAGCATATACCTTTATTCAAAATATTTTGTGGTTTCAACTCATACAATACTAGAAGTAATGTATCTACTATTCTTGTTTTATTCATTTATAAATTTCAGTGCACTATATGAACATCATTAACCTGAGCCCCCAAATTAAAATTTAAAATTAAACCTTTCCTGCCAGAGGTCTCTTCCTGCTAAAAGGAAGTTCTTTTCCCCCACCATCACCAAGTGCCTATTCACAGGTTACCATGGAGTGTTGAAATTACTTATTTCTTCTTGGTTATAAAATTTGGCCACATTCTTTACGGTATTAGGTGCCCCTAAAGATTCCCTTGTGTGAATGCGATTACATAATTTCACCTGTATGAAATTCAATTGCATAACAAAGAACTCTTGGGAGGGGAAAAACAAGAAAAATGCAAATATCACTCGAACAAGAATTCTTATTTTATTGACTAAATCTCAGCTTACAGGAAGACAGTTGTATTGCAAAGACAGAACCGGGTACAAGTTCTAGTGCTGTGGTCATCTACTCACTAAAACTCCACAAAAACCATGATGCTTTGAAATACAGCTATGTCACCGGACAGAAAGACACTGGAACGCCATTACAGCACGTCACAAAATGAATAGGATGAGGAGGCAGCGGTGGCTGACTCAGACGCTGGGAGGGATCAAGGGGAAGGTGGCGTATGACAAATGCACATCTCACTTTCTAGTTTTGTGTCACTCATCTTCTCTCCCAGCTTGTGAACGGATGTGTCCTCGTCTGCAGCGTACTGTATACTGCACTGGTATTTCATCTGAGCACAGTGCTTGTACCACAAGTTCTAGTGAATCATTTACTATCTTAAAATTATTCTGATAGGAAACTACAGCAGTACGGGGCGTGTCTTTCAAAATAAAGATTTACGTTTTGGTATTTTGATATTCTGTGTTTTGCTTGCTAACTCATAAGACAGGGACTGCAACTGATCATCATTCATTCATTAGAAATAACATCCTGTTGGCTAATTGTCTATAACTAACAACAGCAGTTACTTTGGATTGTTAGGTTAGACTGGAGGTTTGGGTATAATGTTTTATAAGACAACGTGATAAAAAGTCAAATTTTCTGTTTTAAAGAATGTTGGCAAGACGATGCTAAAGCATCTGACTTTACCAATAGCTCTGTCTCCACTATCAAAATGTTAGCTAGCTGATTTAGCTACGGATGGTTCCATGCTTGGAAAAAAGAAGCAAGGCTAAAGAAGAAAATTGAATATTTCAATTTCAAAATACGCGACATAATTAAAATTTTACTTGTGTAAAAAGCAACATCAGGCTATTCTTACATTAGGGGTATGATAAGCTAATGTTGATCTCTTTACTAATGCAAGAGAATAATTCAGAAAAATCAAGCTGAATGACACCAAACTAAGACAGCTTAAAAACACTGAATTCAGGGGTTGTTTGACACAGATGAAAAAAAATCCCGGATCCTGTTTGCTAAACACAATTTTCAAAACTCAACTGCCTACATAGCATAAAAGTAAAGGGAACCTTTTATTAATTTTCATGTCTTTGTCATAAACATACTGTTACAGTGTTAGATACTCATATTAATGATGCTTAGATAGTGAGGTCTTTGGATGTATAATGCCTGTGAGCTGAAAACGACCTTAAAACTTGTTTTAAACACTCAGGTTCTGATAGCTACCCTTGGATCAATATGATGTCACGAGAGGGAGGTGATATACTCAATACAGTCATCCCAGGAACATAGCTTTAGCTGCAGACACTGTCATCCCACCTGTCTGCTATTCAAACCTTCTGTTTACAATCGGCAGCCAATCAGAAGAAAGTTGTCTTAGAGGGGAGGAGCTAAAGTAGCTCGTTTCAGTTTAAAATAAATAACAATTACTTTGAAAGGAGCAGAATAGGTCCCCTTTAGTTATAGCAAATCTAAACTTAGCTTAAAGGAAAATGATGGATGGATGGATGGATGGATGGAGCATGAGAGCCTGTGTAGCCCAGAATGTGCCAAAGAAACAAAGGCTCTATTAGGGCCATTTTTTGTGTTTGAAATGAGGTGAAAGCCACCAGAAGTTGTATTGAGCTGCTGGCAATCTGCAGTCTTATCATTTAATATCACCGAGCCCTACGTACTGGCCCTTTTACAGAAATAGTATTAAAGGTGGCCATGGTGTCCATGTCTGAAAAGTGAAACCATTAAAGAGGTGCTTTAAACCCAAACTGTTTATACTGACCACCAGGCGATGATCCCTGTGGCTAAAATAGGAATTCCAGCCATGTGTGGTAAATGGAAAAAAACATCATTCGTTTCACTTTGCAAATTGTTGTCAGAAAAGCGAATTATGGAGGCCATGCTCATTGGCCAGTGACTTGTGACTGACAAAACGCATAACATGGCTTCATAGTCAGATCCACCTCTGGCTTGACACATCTGCTTTCCAAGCAAGAGCAAAGTGGTGACGCTGAAAACACAAATTCACAAACCAATCAATAATAATGTCTACACTACTGGGAGACTGGTTTGGTGTCGGCTCTTTTTTACGTAACAAGAATTGTCAATAAAACCTCCCACGTGTCTCTATTTACAAGAATCCTCACGTTGCTTATCGTTGCACGTTGCCATGGGTGCTTCAAGCACGTCACGTTTATTTGGGAAGAGCGCGAATGTTGAAAGATGGTTTCGGAGTGAACGCTGCAAAGGAACAATGACGCGATGAGGTAATGTGGCTTCATACGGTCATGCCAGTGTGGGATGTGCTTGGGCTCGCACGGTTTACTCCGCACAGCACAGCGCTGCTTGAAGTTGACAGATGGGGAGCAGTGTCCGCATCAGGACCGTCCTTTGTTCTGAATCAGGAGGCTGCCGATGAGGTCAGAGATTGTCACAAGATGCAGTTATTTACTCTCTCGCTGATCCAACGCATCATGCGGAGGGGCTGAGCTGGTCCTCTGTCAGATCCGAGCTGAGGCTACTGACGTGTTGTTTGTCACCGGTACACTAACTACAACTATAGAGTGCTACAGCCTGTGACGGGATAAACACTGAGCAGTTTTTCACAAGAGGGCTTTAGCACATACAGTTTCATGCAGTTTATGTCTGAAAAGCAACACAGAGAACATCCATTCACACACTACGCATGATCCACCCCCCCAAAGAAAAATAATTCAATTGATATTCATGAAGTCAAAAAGGAATGGATTCGTTTTGTTGTTGTTTTTTAAATCCAAAAGCAAAACATTTAAGTCCCTACATTTGACTCAAATTCAAATCTCTCGCTCTGTCTTCATGCTTAGCTTTTTTTTAGTTCCTGAAGGTGGTGAGATGAGCACACAACATTAATAGCATTACAAATACATCACACTGGATAGAAACTAAGTAAGTATATTCAGATTTTTTTTCTTTTAGCCCTAGGATGTCTCAAGAGGTCATAACAGCAATATTCACTCTGGGACATGATGCAAGAAATTGTGCTACTGCAAAAAAAAAAAATCACATCACAACATTTTACCTTTTTTTCCCTCCTAAAGCCGGTTCAGATTCGAAGTTTGAATTACTCGTCATGCAGTTTATAAAAAGTGCTTTTTTCGCCCTGCACTTAATTGGAACAGATCATTTTTCTTTTTCAGACAAAGTTTAAAAGAAAACACATTTTTCAGTGAAGGTCTGGATGAAAACGTGAGCAAAGCAGACAGATCTTTTTCTTGTTCTCTTTTGGAAAAAACGCTTCAAAGGAACATCATACAAACGGAATTTCAGGAGTGAGTAGAAAAAAGTCTTCCAACTGTGAAGTAGATATGTTCATGGTGAAGAGCAGAGACATCGCACGCATTCGCTCCATCTAGTCTGAGATGAAGGAAAGCTGTAGATCATCTCACATAATGCGCAAGTATTCAGTATGTACAGCAGCATACCACACCTGTTACACAGCTATACCTCAACACCATATCACAATGCTGAGTCGAATGGGAAACAAAGAGAGCTACCTTACAAAAAAATAGAAAAAATAGATTGTGTAGTCTTTTTTTTCTTCTTTTTTTAAAGATTCAAATAAATAATAAAATTCTCAAAGAAAAATTAAACTACTTGTTTTAGATTCAAACGCACGGCGACGCACACGGACACATTCACACTTTCATCTTCTTGTTACAAGTAAAACACTGAAACCACGGCTCAGTCAGTCTTTTTATCTTGTAAGGTGTTAGCTTGAGCTCTGTTTCGGTCAAAAACACGAATCTTTTGTCCCTTGGCTTCTTAAAAAAAACCTTCTTATCAGTGTTGAAGAGATCACGAGGAGTTCTGCCCAACTCCTGCTGACTTTTTTATCTTTTTATGTTATTTTAATTCATTTTTTTTGCTGCAAGTATTGCTTTAAGGAATATATTTTGGTCTTCTTGTCAGATCGATTTAGTGGTGAAATCTCTAATGTAGCGTTTTTTTCTTCATTTTTCTACACTTGCATTTTGAACGTGTCCTTGAATTCCAAGTGTTAAAACAGGACATTCGACCAATCATGAGGGATGTGTGCGTTCTACAAAGACGTCCTCGGAAGTCCTCCGGCGCGTGTGTGTCTGCGCTCTTCCTTTCCCACAATGTTTAAAACAGGAGACGTGTTAGTGCTTTGTTATCGCTTTGTTTCTTTTCCCATGCATGAACATCTACGTGGTTGGATGAGAGGTATAAAAGTGTGTGCCGGTGAGCCCTGACATGCTCAGACGCAGATTTCTATGGGTGTCGGCACTAGCATGCGGCCGCCAGGTGAGCCGTTTTCTCGGGGCATTCGATCGTAGCTGTTGGTGGATGACACGGAGCTGTTGGTGGAGACGGACACGAAATGGTGGCCCCCGCCGGGTTCCATCATCCCTCCTTTGGCCCCGCTGCCTCCGCTCCCCCTCTTCACCGCCATTGGCAACATGGGAGAGAGGGGCGACACTGGGGAGCGAGGTGACAGAGTCTGCTGCTTCATCCTCTCCACGAGAAGCTCCTCGTCTTCTTCCCCGGACGATGATGACGAGATTGTGCCGTCCACCTCCCCACGGACTCCTCCTCCACCTCCTCCGCCTCCTCCGCCTCCGCCGCCTCCGCCACTAACTCTTTCGCCGCCACCTCCAGCGACCGTGTTGCCGTTGTTGTTATCGTTCTCCGCGTCTAACATCCAGGAGTGGCTGAAGTACCCGAACACTTCTTTGACGGAGCAGCGGCGGTCCTGCTCCACCGATAGCAGGCGGCGGAACATGCGAAGGGCCTGCTCGGTGAAGCGCCTCCACTGCGACGGCACCGTGTTCGTCCTCCTCCTCTGCCAACGGATGAACTCCTGGTAGAAAGAGTCAGAGGGCAGAGCCTTCTCCCAAGGGAAGTTACCAGTCAGCATGCAGAACAGCAGCACACCGAAGGCCCAGACGTCAGTGCTGTAGTCCACGCAGAAGCCCTCGTGGCGGGACACATCGCAGAGCTCCGGAGCTGTGTAGGGGATGGTGCCGCTCACCTGGAGGGGAAACCCAACAGGTTACAGTCACTGGAGGAAACGTGCGAATATAAAAACGTACAAAACTCAAACACTACTCACTCTTTTCACTGGTGAGCCAGCCCGGCGAGTCATTCCGAAGTCAGAGAGCTTGACCTTGCGGCACTCTCGGTCAAAGATGAGGATGTTTTCAGGCTTAATGTCCCGATGGACCAGCTTCTTACAGTGCAGGTAGTCCAGAGCGATGGCTACCTGGTGTACACAGCGCTTTGCTACTGTTTCAGGAAGACCGACCTTGAGGGCCAAAGAAAGGAAAAGCACTATTTTATTCAGAGGATTTTACAGTTTTAAGCCAACTTTCTTCTGACTGTGGATCAGTAATCATCTGTATTACTATCGTTATCTGCGAATCAGCACCTGTGGAGGAATTATATCGAAGAGGTCTCCCGCCACGGCGTACTCCTGTGCAAACACGTAGTACTCGTCGGTCTCGAAGGCGATGCCAAACATGTTGATGATGAAGGGGCACGGAGACAGGTACAGGGAGATGCTGTACTCCCGTAGAAAAGACTTCAGCTTGGTTGTCTTCTTCTTCAGGAACTTCAGTGCCATTTTTGTACCTTTTGGGAAAAATACAGATGTTTTTTTTACAGATGCACAAAAAAACCAGTTTTTGTATCACGACTTTACTGAGGTATTATTTTAAATTACTCACTTATTTAGATTTTGTTGAGGCTTAAAGTTAAACCCCTGTGCTGATTGGAGTGAACTGAAACTCTTTGAATTCAATTCAGTGTTATTTATGTCCCTAAATCACAGCAACAGGGGCCTTAAGACGCTTTATATTGTTAGGTAAAGACAGAGAAAACCCCCGAAATCAGATGACCCCCTTCAAGCAAGCAATTGGTGACAGTGGAAAGGAAAAACTCCCTTTTAACAGGAAGAAACCTCCAGCAGAATTAGGCTCAGGGAGGCGCAGCTATCTGCCGTGACCAGTTGGGGGTGTTGTCGTCTATCCAAGAAGACCGTGCTTGAGATTTCTGCTATTTTAATTATTAGTCTGTAACTTTTCACTAAGGAGGTTTCTGTCTGTACATTTATGAATGCAGTTATTTAACCAAGCTTGCAATTTAGCACTCCATCCACTAATCTAACTATTAACACTTCTGTCTAAACAAAGGGACATCTCATTAGGAGCCAAAAGCAAAATTACACTTAAGGTGCAGAGACCAAAACAAAAAGGTGACAGCGCAATCACTTAAGACGTCATGTACTCTGTGGTGGTCCCTTACCTCTGATCTTGTGAATGACCAGATCCACCTTGCCATAGGTTCCCTTGCCCAGCTCTCTGATCACCTCGTAGTACTTGTTGACCTCTAGTCTCTCCAAATTTTGGGCAGCAATCAGCTGCAGCTCATCCAGGATGTCCATGTTGGCTCGAGAAACCAGCGGAGAGGAGGTCATGGTGCGGACTGCTTCAGGGTGCAAAAAAAACTGACTCGGGTAGGACAGGAGCAGCAATAGCAGCTAACAGCTGGTGTCACTGTACAGAAAGAAGAGAGGAGAAACATTTTGAAAACTGCTTCATCCTTCTACTCTTCCTCATTTCAAGTACAACAAGTTGGCTGTGATAGGACGGGCACACGAAGAGAAAAACAGGCTCTCGTCCTCTTGTGGGACCAAAACAGGAGCATGTGATATGTGATGTTTGTGTTGCATTCCAAGGTCGGCAATGCACAGCACGCTGTCGACACCGAAGCTCACAGCGTGCTGCTCTGATCTGCAGTGTGATAGCCGCTGAAAATGCTAATTATCTGCAGTGAAGGCTTAAGTAATTCTAAATGCTACTCGCCAAGGGGGATACCAGAGCTGAGCTGTGAGCTGAGTCACACACACACACACACACACACACACACACACACACACACACACACACACACACACACACACACACACACACACACACACAC